TAGATGTAAAAGGGGTGGAGGGGAGCGGGTTGTGGTGATGGGTGGGACACGTGTGCACGATGCAGGAGGGCGGGTTGCCCAGGCCGGGCATTTGGAGTGGCACCCGTGGATCGGCGACCAAGTGGAAGAGAAGAGAGAGATATAAGAGGGCATAAATCCCACGCTGGCAGCGTGGTGTCGATTGCGCAGGAGACGAGTTATCAAGCAGAAGGAAGGACGCGATGACGAAAATGACCTTGACGTTACAGACTCGACCAATGACTGCTCCAGTGGCACCAGGGATCGAACCCAGAAAGAGGCTCGACGGAGAACGCGCAACCACCACGGCGCGTACACAAACCGCGTAGGGTTCACGTAAAAGTAGTCCAATCAATCAGTTGTCAATGAGACGGCTCCTTGGTGTGCGAGATGCTTGCGCGTCGAATGTGACACGGGGCGAAGTGTGTGGGGGTTAAGCGGCGACTTCTCCCGTTGAACGGGAGGGTCTCCGTCGAGTGGCTGCACTCTGAGGTCACGTCCAGTGTGTGTCCAACTTGCTACCCACATACCTCCTAGACCGTATACCAACATACTTACTAACCCTTATACCCATATACTTACTAACCCTTATAGATACATATCTACTATCCCTTATATCTACAGTACATATCTCCTAGCCCTTATACTCACATACCTCCTAGCCCTAATACACACGTATTTTCTCGCCCTTGTACCCACATATCTACTAGCCATTATACCCACAGACCTGTGAGCTCTTACACCCACTTATCTATTGGCACGCCTTCCCATTTCCCCTACCGATTGGCCGAACCACCTATCTCGACACGTACCTGCCGTTCGCATGCCTCCGCACACGTCTATCCACATGCCTCTTCTCATACGAATCCACATGCCCACCCACACGCCTACCCACACGACTGTCCGCATGCCTAAGCGCACGCCTACCCTCGTGGTTGGCCACACACCTCCTCGTCTGCCTGCCTACCCACTTGAATACGAACTACCCTCGGTGCCTACCCACCCGCCTAGCAGCCGCACGCAGCTCTGGCCGAGCCGTGAGCAGCCCTCGCCGCCATCTGGCCGAGCCTGATGCGTGCCACGTGCAGCGCGGCGCGCTCAGGAAGCGCGACCAGGAATCCGCCTCGGGGCTCCTTCCTCCACTTCTTCTTCTTCTTATAAACGATAGCGGCCGCGTGCGTGCGCGGGCACACCGACGAGCTACGGAGAGAGAGCGAGAGAGGGATTCACCGGGGAAGAGGAACCACGGGAGGAGAGGAATCACGGCAGGAAAGGAACCATGGGGAGAAGGGAAGCATGGGAGGAGAGGGACAGCAGGAGGAGAGGGAGCATGACAAGAAAGGAACCACGGGGGGAGAGGAACCACGGGATGAAAGAGTCACCTGGAACTCACCTGAGCCCTGGTGTGGGGGAAGGAAGGGGGGTGGGAGCGGCTGTGAGGGGGGATGTGGAGAAGGGGGGGGTCAGTGTGGGTAGGAGGAGGGGTGGGGGAGCTGCGGCTGCCACGGGGGAGGAAAGAGAGGATGGGGGGGGGGGCATAAAACTGAAAATAGCTCCGCCTAATTACGCGAAGATGAAACGCGAACTGGAGGTGGGTGGGGGAATTTTACGGGAACCCGAGGTCCGGGGGCCTTTACGGCCCCCCCCCCCTCCGCCGCCCTCGACTCCTTCCCCCCCGACCCCCCCGCCCAAACCCCACCCCCGCTCCCACCACCTCCCCCAACAGCGATTCTCAAAACAGCTCTTCACTATTTTCATTGGGAGGCGGTGCATTGCCACAACGCGGCCCCGAAATGGCGACATTTGGGGGGCAGAAGGAGGGAAGGTGGGGAGGGGGGCTAAGACGTCTCCATGGTTACCTACCTCCATCACTGTGCAGCCAAGTCCAAGTGTCGCCCTTCGCACCATCATTCTGTCGGGGGGCTCTGATCCACTTGTGAAAGTTCAATATTCCCGTGGCCAGAGCCAGTCCCTATAAGGACAACCATTGTTGACGTACCACACACACACATCGGTGATCTTCTTGTCGACTGCGAGATCTGATTGATGGTAATAATACTGATGATAACAATGAGGCGAGTTAACGTGTCCCGGGACTTGACTCAAAAACTCTGACCACGGCGGCAGCTGATTGTTATGGCTTCCCCAAATCCTCGATGCAGATTTTTCAGAATTCCGCTGCCAGACTTTCAGAACACCCGCCACTATAAGCGAGGTCCCATCCAAGTCTCATCAAATGCCTCCACTGCTCACCAATCTAGTCACTGGTAAATTGCAGGATCGCACTTTCACCTCCACGGACTCGAGCCATGCCCATCACTCCCCTCTTCACACTTCGCTCCCTCTCATCTCTCTCTCTCTCGAAGCTTGCAACCTCCGCTCAGTAGGAGGTCGCTTCTTCTCCTCTGCTGCTGCCTCTGTCACGGTATCGCGATGTTAACTATCACGCCTGCTACGTAGGAGGTTATAGGTTTGATCCCGACCCTGACGCCCATATATTTGGAGTTTGAGTGCCTCTCTCCCCCGTGGTCGCGTGGATTTTTCACTGGGTTTTTTTCCCTCCGGGTTTTCCCTTCCACGTTTATAATTTAATCAGCACGCGTTTAGAATATTTGGCTGCTGCTGTACATTTCCACGTGATAAGCCACTTCGTTGAGCCATCATTTTTGGCCAGATCGCTTCTAAAAAAAAAAAGAGCAGCGTAGCTCAGTTGACCTTTCCTGTCAAATTAAAACATCGTTTCAAGAGCTTCTGCAATTCTCTCCCCCTGGCCATTCAATTTGTTGCACACTCGAGACCCATCTCTGATCCAAGTCCAGGCTCAAGCTCTCCTGTTGTCCGCCACGATACCTCCCCATCCCGCTGCTACGGATTCTGTTCGCACCTTCGTCTCGTCCCCCTCTGTGCACCCTGCACCCCACCACCGCCGCCCCCCATAAATGCCAGACGTCTCAAAACAGTGGAGGATGTGTTACGGGGTGGGGGGGGGGGAGAGTACCTCGTGTTGTTCGCCACGGACTCTCGAGTAATCTCGCAGCACGTGCAGCGAAACGTCGGACAACTTGGCGAACAACAGGCGGTACAACTCCACACGCACACGCGTCGGAGAGCCGTGCGGATCTGATTCAGGGCGATTTGGTTTCGTGTGGGAGGCCAAGTTGCTGGCGGATTCAGGATTCATGCCCATACCGCAATCCCAGCCCACAACGCGCCTGGCACCCCCTTCCCGGGCTAGCAGTGTCCCGCACAACACATTGTACGCTTCGCCGAATGGGTGCACGTATGATAGGCGACGTTTCGGGCAACGGCCCTTCTTCACGGCACACCAATAGCCAGGCTAAACCAGACTCGACCACTCCCCCCCCCCCCCCCCTGCTGAGCTTGCGAGAGAGAGATGACGGAACAAGACGCAATGCGCTTGATTTGGGTTGCGGGAGATGAAGGTTCGGCGGGCGAAGGGGTAGAAGAGAATGGGGGGGAGGTGGTGAAGGGGGGGGTAAAGTTGGGGGGGGAGGAGACGTTGGGGAGGGGGGAGACGTTGGAACGGGGGGAAGTTGTGGGGGGAGTTGGGGGGGGAGAAGTTGAGAGGGGGGGGGGGGGTCGAGGGTTAGAAGACGGGGGGGGGGGGGGGGAATTTTTGGTGATTAGAGCAATTTGATCTTTTCCGTGCAGGCGGGCAGTGACACAGAGCGCTCCCACTAATCACTCGCAGCCGCGGCGGGCACGGGGAGACGTTGCAAAGCGACTTCCGATTTGCTCTGCGCCAAGAGCGCAGTCGCGAAAACTCTGAGCTCATATAAATATATACTTACACACACAGACCCACATATACATACAAAGACAAAAGACAAAGATCCCCCGTATAGCCTGAACAGACTGTAGGGGCAAGTGCTGTTAGCGAGCACCTATGAAGGCCGGAACGGTACACGAGGGGGTGGGTGGCCAGCACCACGCCCGACCGCCTTTGTCTCCCCAGTGGCGATGTTTACACATCGCACCAGGTACTCATTTAAGGCTGAGTCGACCTAGGGGAGGCCCAGGACCGGTTCAGATAATCGTCACTGGTGTTTGCCGTGAGCGGGAATCGAACTCGGGTCGCCAGGTTCGTAGCGCAGCGCGCTAACCGCTACACTACCGCTCCACATATACATACACACACATACACACATACAGACATACAGACCCACACACATACCCACATATACATACACACATACAGACCCACACACATACCCACATATACATACACACATACAGACCCACATACACACACATACATACACACACAGACACATATATATACAGACCAATATATACACACAAAGACAAAGATCTCACGTATAGACTTAACAGACTGTTGGGGCAAGTGCTGATAGCGAGCACCTGTGGAGGCAGACAGCACACGTGGGGTGGCTGGCCAGCACCACGTGGACACATCGCACCAGGTACCCATTTGAGGCCGAGTCGACCGAGGGGGAGGATCCAGGCACGATTCATCGCGGGTTCGTGAGAGGTGGCGGCGGCTTGGGGGAAGTCTTCATCCAGCAGTGGATCGCCCATGGCTAACGACAAAGATGTATATCACAATTGAAGTAGGCACCGACTTAAAGCCGACAAGGAATGAAACGGAGTCTATAGGAAATGTAACCGATTTAACTTTTCCCTCCTTCAGCCTATTATGTAAACCAAATGATCGTACAGTCATCTAGCAGTGGACTAAGAATGCCGGTGGCAGGAGCGCTGCTCATAATGAACGCATCGTGAACGTTTGCGCGTGGCGAGCAGATTGTGCACGTGAACGGACAATCGAAATAAAGGCTCCTCATTCATTCCGTGGCGGCCATTGGAAGGCGGTTGTGAGATGTGGTGGTCGTGGAGGTGTTGTTTGACCATACTTCACCACAGCTGCTCAGCACGGGCTGTAATCCCAATCCAAAAGAATCCTTTAAAAATAAAGAGGTACGACTCGTCAAGCAGAGCGCTGTGATCTCGTTCATTTTATTGATGCCACACAAACGGCACGTCGCATGGACATTTCCAATCGGGGAACAATGCTAAAATATATATATATGTACGCGCGTGTGTATGTAAACTAGGTAATATGGGATACGCTAATGCCATCATCGTCATCATTAGTACAGGAGCGATGGGACTCGGTGGGCCACGTGGTCTCGAGAATCGCTCCCCCCGCCACCCCCATCGCCCCACTCGACCGAACCACATCGCCGCTCCTTTTGTAGTAAAAAAAACAACAACACAAAAAAACCCACAATGCGAGTAGTCGACCACCGTCTTGCTCCGAACAAATCGAACAGACGGGGGGGGGGGAGGGCGGGGATCTCACGGAAACAGCAGCCGCAACGACCTTACCAAAGTGTCGCACATGCCAATACAAAAAAACCAACAACAACAAACAAAATACCCGGAGAGGATTGGTGATAAAACGCACGCGGATCGCGCCGTGAGTGGGACTCGATTCGTGTTGAGTGGGCGCAGTGGCGTCGGCGATAGTGGCAGGGTATGAGGCTTCGTGGAATCAATCACTGGGGGTTAAAACGATGCCATCCAGTAGTCATGGACTCACTTGAGAGCGGACACAGGTTAGTAGTTACCGGTTTCCTTTCTTTTAACGTGGCGAATACAACTGTGGAGCGTTTTGAGTGATGTCACCACGTGAGCGCAAGCATTTCATCATTAAACACGCACGCGTGATTGGTAACAAGGAGAAGCGGGGGATTCAAAGACGCAACAATCACGTGGATGCAAAAACGCTTTAACTTGAACGGCCGTATTCAAAAACTCGGGTCACATTCACGCGGAGCGTGGATTATATATTCATAGCTGCGTGAGTGTGTACACTTATACATATCTCAAACGTGTCAAAGTGAATGTCGCACACGTGATAACCCGAGCGTGTTTTCTCAAATGACCAATACAAAGCCAACGTGGAATTATAAAACACAAAGAGACTCTCTCTCTCTGTCACACACTCAACTCACGGACACACACACACACAACAGGTACAACAACAAAGCCAATGGATTTCAACTGGCCGGCCTGACCCGAACGCACAATGAAGTCAAGAACAGCGAATCCACAGAGAGATATTTTGGCCGAATTGCGAATTCCCCCCCCCCCCTCTCTCCCCGATGCGTGGAACTCTCATCAACTGCATCGCAGCGAGCGCCGGGGAGGCAAGAGACTTGCAGACACGGACGGGATGAGGACATTTCTGGCGGACGGCGTCACACAACACAACTGCCTTAACGCAGTACAACCCACGCACGCAAGAGCTCTCGTCCTGTAGCTACCGCGCGCCCGATGCTCAGTTGGTGCGCCGAGCGAGTACGCAGGCGGTGCAACTGCACCGGAGCCCACGGGCCTGAGAAGAGACCCAGGCACCGTGGCCACTCCTTACAATCAGGGCCTACGGAGAACCAGGTTACGCCACCGCCTGAGCCGCGCGTCCCAGGTTCTCTCATTCCTATCCGACGTAAAAACGAGACTTAATTGACGATCAAGCGCGATCATTGTGGCACTCCAGTGACGTCGGTGCGGCGCTCCTGCCAGCCGCGTCATTCGACTTCAGGGCGGTGACGTCACTGAGGGTACCACGATGGATCCGCATGGCCGCGATTTTAAAAGTCCTTTTTTTAAAATCTGTCCTCATTGGTCACGGCGAATCCACTGCTGTACGAAGGCCTCCGCGACACGAGGGGTATTTAAGCTCGTGCGACACATCCCGAGGCGTGCGGCTACAAGATGAGCGTCGACTGGGCGATTTCGTGGTTTGCTGTTGAAAATCAGCCGAGCATGCTGCACGTGGCCTTGCGTGGCAATTCACGGGACGCCATTCGTCTCCGGGGGCCTCCGTGTTTATTTCATATTTATTTCGCGATCACATGCCTAGAGAGAAAACACCGAAAGCCTTACGCGCACGTCGATGAAAAAAAGTGTCGACACAACGAGGGTTCTACGTGGACTTGACACGTGATACAAATATAGCTGCCTTTGTTAATATCCACCAGGGCAAGTCACTCACTGGCAACAGCAGTCTTTTGCATATTTTTGTACACGCGCGGACACCATGTGAGCCTGGCCACTGCACCACCGGCCAACCCTTGCAGTAACGACGCCGATGATGATGACGATGGGAGTTATAATAAAGCTGCTGCTGCTGCTGATGGTGTTGATGAAGACACTCGTAAGTGAACACACACAGACACACGTACACAGTAAGTGAACACACACACACACGGTAAGATGGGCAGGGGCCACCGCTGCGCGCTGCACGCACCCACGTGCTAATTAATGTAACTCTCACTTGGGTGTTCTAATTAGCCGCGTTGTTGCTCGAATGAGTGTATTCTTTTATTCGAGTAAAAACAGGTTGGTAAAATCGATTAGGCGGATATTTTTTTAAACATGTAAAAATAGTGCAAGACCATTTCAGACGAGGGCGTATGTACACGGACCTAATTTTCTTCTTTGTCATATCCGATTCGTTGCTAAAGCAATAAGTAAAAAGATCGTAGAAGTGAAGGAATTCGCCCTACTTGCAACTGGACACCCAATGATTGAGATCGCCAACGCATGGGACGCACACGTTCGACCGTTTTCCTCCATTCAACTCCACTTGTATGGTTAAGATCGTAGCTATAATAATGATCAATACCAGAGGCAGGGCGTGGGGCGTGACGCGTGCCCGTGTCCTTCACGAGCTTCGGATTTAGCTTCAAATGAGCCCCGACAAACACGTGGAGTGGCTGGCTCGACACTCTCAAGCTCCGAGAGACGGGCGGCCACAATCAACGTTGTGGCCTCAGCCGCGAAGGCCGAGGCCGCGCTCGCGAACAGGACACACGCGGCCAGAACCGACACCACGGGCCGTGCCACCACCGGTCCAACTCCACTCGCCACTTCACCTCGACCCAATGACCCCTTCACCCCCCACCCCACCCGAACCGCTCCTGTCCATTCTTAACACCACCACCCCCCACCGTCCCCCAGCAGTTGGATGCAAAAACAGATTCGTGTCTGGTTGCCAAAGCGTCTGGAGCCAGACACCGGGAGGTGCAAAGCGACATTAGCGGGTAGGCGACGTTAATACCGTGTGGCCAGACGGGACAACGCCTTGTAAACGCGGGGGCCGCTCCTCTCTCGCCCTCTCGCTCTCTCTCTTTCTGCCGTCACCTGCAGATGATGCCCTGCTGTACACGCCCACTATGTACACTCGCGCTCACATACACATTATATAATATATTTCTATACGGTGCTCAAAAATTCCTGGACATGATAATACAAAATAACAACTCTTGATCCCTTTTATCGCTCTCTCCGCCTGCCACTCGCCTCGCGCAACCATGGCCCGTCGCCACGCGCGACCGCCAGCGCCATCGCTGGAACAAAACACTAAACCGTATCGAACTTACGTATTCCCTTTCGGATGCTTTGATATCATCGCGCAGCCACCATCTCCCTCGGCACGAGGTCACCCATCAGTGACCACCACTGCAGCTCCCCGTGTAAATTAGTCACCGAATTCAGGTCGCGGCCTCGCCAGAATCGCAGATCGTGCGATCAAGGAAATCCCTTTTTGTAACAAAACCACAATTACCGCATGCAAGCGCTAATCACGTGAGCTGGATCCTTCTGTGTAGAGGTGCTACCGAACGGGTGACCACCACGGATAACCAACACAGATGACCAACATCACTTCGCACGTGCGCTGCTACTGAGTGGCCAAAAGCAGAGCGTTACAATTCTTTATCGTGATGGTTCGAAATTGCCAGGGCCGCCAAAAGGTTTTTCTTTTCTTCCGAGGTGCCCTCTGGATCTGATGCCTCGAGAAAACTGGTCCACCACCTACCAACCCGCTCGCTGTGGCCTTGCTCTTGTCCAATCAGCCGTGAGCCCAATACTGCTGCCTCAAAGAGACCTGGCCCTCTGAAGGGAGACACTGGGAGCGTTCTCTGAATACTGCACAACGAGTCACTGCGGTTCCGACGTGGACGGGACTGCGGAATCTCATGTTTGGTAAAACCCCGATGCATGTTCTACCCGTGCCACCACGGGGGGGAGGGGCTGGGGGGAGGGAGCAACATCAAAATTAAAACAAATGACAACTATATATATTTATATATTAATGGAAATGTTTTTAAATATATTTTAGGGTTTTAGGATATGCATGTTCGCTCTGCTCCGTGTGCATGCGGATGCGCGTGTACACTTGTGTGTGTACAGCGAGGTGACTGTGCGCTTGCACATGCGTGAACACACGCCTGTGCTGCCGCATGTACGTTCTTGCATGTTTGTACTTGGGGCTTGCAAGTATGACTTGTTACATGTGTGTGCATGTGTAGGTTGCGGAGAGCGGAGGTGTGGCAGTTAGCGAGCTGCACAACAAATCCGGTGACCCAGGTTCGATCCCTGCTCACGGCCAACACCAGTGACAATTGTCTCAAACGGTCCTGGGCCTCAGCTAGGTCGACTCAGCCTCAAACGAGCGCCTGGTGCGATATGTGAAGATGGCGTGTTCGCCTCAAAACCTGTTCCCACACCGGTCTGGCCACGCTGTGGTGGTTCCTGGCTCCACACAAAGGACCGCGTCCAAAACCACAAGTTTCTCTCTCCAGCTCACGGGATCACCACACACACGCCCCATCCACTCCAACTTTCTTCAAGGGCGATGGATAATTTACTTTGTCAACTAAAAAAGCAGCAGCAGCAGCAGCAAGAGGAGCTCGAGAAGTCGGAGCAGACGCTCCAGCAGCAGCATCAGCAGCAGCATCAGCAGCAGCATCAGCAGCAGCATCAGCAGCAGCATCTGCAGCATCAGCAGCAGCTGGAGGTCAAGGAGGAGCAGAAGGCGATTCTTCGGTAGAAGCAGATAAATATCATGAACAGACAAAATCTGCATCTGCAGCATCTCGAGGCGCAGCAGCAGGACATGGAGTTTAAGCAAAAGTTGTTCCAGCTGCAGGCTGAGATGCCCATTGAGGAGCCCCCCCCCCCCCCCCCCGCTGATGCAGTAGCTCAAGAGGTTTCAGATGAAGGCGCAGTCGGTGGAGCTTTACAAGAATCTTCTGCTGGAGGCGGATAAGAAAAAGCAGAAGACACAGCTCCTGCTGTAGCAGGATCTGGGGGAGGTGCAGGCTGAGGAGCAGGAGCATGAGGAGCAGCAGGAGCAGCAGGAGCAGCAGGAGCAGCAGGAGCAGCAGGAGGGGGAGGAGCAAGGGGAGGAGATGCAGCAGGAGGAGCAGGAGATGCAGGAGGAGCAGGAGATGCATCAGGAGAAGGAGCAGGAGGAGGAGCAGGAGAAGGAGGAGGTGCATCAGGAGGAGCAGCAGAAGGAGCAGCAGGAGATGCAGCAGGAGGAGCTTTTCCACTTGGAGCTGTCCGACACAGATGAAGGAGAGACGGTGATTGGTGAGCGCAAACGAAATTGGAGTCGGGAGGAAACTATTAGACTAATAAAGGGCTATGCACACTTCAAAGGCGTTTAAAAACACAACCCGAACCAGGCGCTGTGGACGCGCCTCGCATGCCGCCTACGCATACAGGGAGTGAAATATCAGGTGTCACAGGCTCTGGGCCGCTGGAAGACTCTGGCGCACGCCATATCGCGAGGCCCTGGCGCTGAAATGCCGTGGTGTTAAACATTGGCGGAAATCGAGCCACCTCTTCAATTAGCTGCACCCAATCATGGCAGGGGGTGGGGTGCAGGCTGCGGGGGGCATTTCGCTGTCATCCTCAGCCCGGCCTCCTGCACAACCGCCAGCAACACACGGAGAGTTGAGCGATGACATGATGTGCTGATGGGGAGACACCGCAGACCCTAAATGTACAACACTACCCATAAACTCAACACTGCTACCCATACTCCGCACTGCTACCCAAAGACTCGCACACGCACGCACACACGGGGAGAAGAGGCCAAGCGATGGGAGCGGAGAGTCGAGTGGCGGGCCAACCCCTCGTCCACCTCGTGGGAGGTGGCAACAGGTAAAGTACAGGATTGCCAGACAGGGCGAAGTATGGTGGGTGGTTCGACCACCTGGGCCGCTTCGATAACCAAGAAGGCCTGCCTGGACTTCACCTGGAAACGCGCTGGCTAACGGGGCTCTGGTTAGCCACTTAGGCTAACGGAGTAAACCCTGACAAAATCCCAGGTGGATACCAAGTGGCCAACGGCCCACCTCGGTTGGGCAGATGAGCTACGGTCCAGATGGCCAACAGCATATGGCGGAGGAGCCACTGGTGCTTCAGGACAAGCCTTTCAATCGTCTTGGTTTTCTGCCTCGCCATTGGACCTATGCTTGGTTCCTGGTTAAGCCCCGTGCGGTAGATGTTGTGCGACACTGCAGGTACATTAATTCACGCACTGGCACCCTCCAGGGAAACTGTGCCATCGCACCACCACACTACTACAAAGCCCTTGGGCGATTGGCAAGTGGCGAGCGGGGCAGGCCTATGCAGCTATAAGCTCCTAGTCACAACCCAGCACCAAGGCGGCAGCTATTAGAAAGTCGTCACGCACTCGGATCAGGCAGGAGGGCATCCCGGCAGCTGTAGCTGTGACTGAGCAGCCCACCAGGATCCACTCTGCTCACCCCAAATGGGGAGGGGGCTAGAAAAGGTGCCCTAAACATGGAATGTCAGGACCCTCACAGATAAGCCCAAACTCGCAATGTCCAGAGCACCGAACAGCTCTTGTGGCACGCGAGCTGAGACGATTTAATATCCATATTGCCGCCCTCAGCAAAACCCGTCTGGCAGATGAAGGCCAACTGACCGAGCTAGGTGGAGGCTACACCTTCTTTTGGAAGGGTAAACCAGCGCATGAACGACGCCTGCATGTTGTAGGGTTTGCAATAGACAACGTGCTCATCAACAGCTTAAGCGAGCTTCCAATTTGTATCAATGAGCGTTATGACCCTACGCCTGAAACTGGCAAAAGACCAACATGCAACCATCAGCAGCAGCACCTACGCACCAACACTGGACTCTGAATAAGACACCAAGGAGTCTTACTACAGGCAACTCAAGCAAATCCTTCAGAGTACATCAACAACTGACAAGCCGATTCTCCTCGGCGACTTCAATGCTGGAGTTGGGAGAGACCATCAAATGTGGAACGGTGTAATTGGTCAAGAGGGAGTTGGAAAGTCCAACTTCAATGGCCACCTTCTTCTTACAATCTGTTCTGAGCACGACCTGACAATCACCAACACCCTATTCAGGCAGAAGAATAGGCTTAAGACCTCCTGGTGCCACCCTCGATCACACCAATGGCATTTACTGGACTACGCGATTGTCAGGAAGCTTGACAGCACAGACGTCCGCATCACTCGTACCATGATCAATGCAGACGATTGCTGGACTGACCACAGACTAATTCGATCAGTGAGGACTCTCAAACACATCAACCGACCAAAACTACAGAGGAAAAGACTCAATGTAACCAGACTAAAAGATCCATCAGTACAGGTCTGACTGAAAGAATGAGCTCAAAGACTCGGCACCAACCAGGCTTCAGGAAATGTTCATGAGTACTCGACACAACTGAAGATGCCAGTTATAACCAGCTATGAAAACACCATTGGCTACACAAGAAGGAAAAACTGTGACTGGTTTGATGACAACGACCAGGAAATCACAGGCCTCATTGACAAGAAGCGGAAAGGATTCATCGCCTGGCAACAACACAAAGTCTAGACAGAAAAAACAATCATAAAAGGAGGCCAAATCGGAAGTACAAACTAAAATCCGGGAACTAAAGAACAAATTGTTCAGAAACAAAGCAGAAGAAATACAACATCTTGCAGATTCCAATAACCCACATGCATTTTTTAAAGCAACAAAAGTCTTAAATGGACCATCAAAACAGGGCCTTGCACCACTTCAGTCTAAGGATGGGACAAACATCTTCAAAGACAAAAATGCAATCATCTCCCGCTGGCAGGAACACTTCAGCACTTTTCAACTGCAACGCTGTTGTAGACGCTTCTATATTCAGTGAGATTCCACAACACTCCACCACTGAGGATTTAGCTGGAGAACCAACGATGCTTGAAGTGGCTAAAGCTGTCAAGCAGATGAAAAAGAACAAAGCTAGTGGGCTAGACCAGATTCCTGCTGAGATTTACAAACATGGAGGACAACGCCTCCTAGAACACCTGCGTTCCCTTATGGCCAGAATCTGGAATGATGAAGACCTTCCCAACGAACTGAAAGATGCCATCATTATCACCGTCTTCAAAAAAATTGACGAGTCAAACTGTGACAACTACAGAGGAATCTCTATTCTTGCCACTGGTGGAAAATATTGCCAAGAATCCTACTAAAAGACTTCTGAATCGCAGAGTGGTTTTCGACCTGATAGGGGAACCTCAGACAAGATCTTCTCAGCCTGTCAACTCCGAAGCGAAGTGCCAGGAGCAGAGACTACCATTGTACATGGCCTTCTTTGATTTGACTAGAGCTTTTGATTCTGTTAATTGTGAAGCACTATGGAGAATCCTTCTGAGACATGGCTGCCCAACAAAATGTGTTAACGTCCTCCGTCTGTTGCATCACGGTGTGCAGGCTGTCATCCTCCTCTCTGATGGCGAAACCTCAGAGCCAATCGAAGTACCGGTGTGAAGCAAGGCTGCGTTATTGCACCAACCCTTTTCTCCATCTTCCTGGTGGGAATGCTTCATCTGACAGAGAACAGACTTCCCAGAGGAATAAATATCACATATAGGACAGACGGGAACATATTCAACATCAACCGTTTCAGAGCCAAGTCAAGAACATCAATCACATCCGTTATTGAATTCCAATATGCTGATGATGCCCAAGTCGGTGCCTGCTCAGAAGCTGACCTTCAGGTCATCGTCAACATATTTAGAGATGCTTACAGCAGGATTCGGTCGAACATTGAATACCAGCAAAACAGAGATCCTTTTCCAACAAGCTCCAGGAGGACACCTACCACCCCCTACAAGCATTACCAACAATGCAATACTAAAAAACGTTCCCAGTTTCCCATACTTAGGCAGCCATCTCTCTAGCAATGTCTTCATTGATTATGAAATCCAACAGCGGATTGCCCAAGTGAGTGCTGCCTTTGGCAGACTTAAGAACAGGGCCTTTGAAGACCACGACAATTCCACCAAGATCAAAGTGGCTGTGTATAATGCTGTGGTCATGCCCAACTCTCTTATATGGTGCAGAAATCTGGACCACTTATCAGTGAACACGTAAAATCTCTCGAAATGTTTAATCGATGCTGTCTCAGGAAAATACTAAACATCACCTGGGAAGAAAGACAAATTAATATCGGTGTGCTGGAGCAATCCAACTCATCCAGCATAGAGGCCATCATGATGAAGTATCAACTCAGAGGGGCAGGTCACCTTGTGAGGATGAATGACTCGAGGCTTTCTAAGCAAATCTTCTATTCCCAGCTCAGCGATGGATCACGTGCCCCTGGAGGTCAAAGGAAGCGTGCCCGTGACAACCTTAAAATGCACCTCAAGCGAAGCCACATAGATCCAAACAGATGGGAAATCAATGCTCTCGATAGACCATCATGGAGGGCCAAAATAAACAATGGAACTCAGCAATTTGAGGCTGAGCGAAGAGAGTTGATAGCCAGTAAAAGAGCACGCCACAAAGCACGCACACCAGAGATAGAGACGACAACGAGGGGGAGCTCCAGGATGGCCCATCCGTGCCCTCACTGTGCCAAGATCTGCAGGTCACGGATTGGCCGATTCAGTCATCTCCGGACGCATGGCCAGTCCAGCTCCATCTCACAGCACGGACAAGTGACACCTGAAGGGAAATCTTACTCGACTACGAGAGATCCCAGAAGATGTGAAGATCACGGCCGGATGTGATGCTGCCCACCCACCCCTTCTCGTGTGCAGTTTTGGCCTTCATAGGTCCTCGCTAACAGCGCTTACCCCAACAGTCTGTTCAGGCTATACAGGGGATCTTTGTCTGTGTTTGTTTGTGCGTATGTGGAAAAATAATGGCATTTTCTTTTACACAATTTCTCGGCAGAGGGTCACAGGCCCAGCACGTCAAGCGTCCATCAAACCAACAGCACAGCGCGATCGGAGTAGTAATAGATAATAGAAGAGTGAAACAGGCTTCTTGAAAAGAGCAATGTTATAGGAGCTTGGGGAAAAGAGGCGATGGGAGGGATTTCACATAGCTGTCAACCCATATGGTTTACCCGTCTTCTTGTACAAGGAAATTTAGATTTCAGGTCCATACGACGTACAGCCGTTTCAATACGGGCAGCAATAAAATCATACGGCCAAATAAAAAAGTCGTGGGACAATATTTTTGTTTTACTCTGGAGAGTAGCGATCCCCGTAGACTGTAGCATGATAAGTAGCATCACTGACACCAATTAAAAACATTTATACATAAAACAGCTTTTGTTTCGGAACATAATTTTTGTCTATTTATTTGTGTTTCTCCCTCGTGATGGGACGTTGTAGGATGAACGTTAAGATTTATAAGGGGCACGGGGTGATCAATAAAGCCTGAATTGGTCTGTAATAAGGTAGGTGCTGATAAGGGGTTGACAGGTATGAATTCAGAACGTAGCAAGGGAGGTGTCGTGACCTATAGTGTGGTGGTCGAACGGATTGGATGAGTCAGTCTGAACTGAAGAGAAGAAATAACGTTGCCTTGCGGAACACCAGAGTTAATCGCGAAGGCGTCCGATTGGCCACCCCCCACTACTGCAGATTTGACAAAAGAGAGATGAAAATATCAGGGTACAGATTTGGGTGGAAGCCAGATGACGGGTGGAGCTTGGCAAGTTGCGTGCGGTGCCAGACACAATCCAACGCTCGAGCGATGTCAAAGTGTCATGATCGTAGACTCTCCAAAATGGTCAAGGCTTGAGTTCCAATCACGAGTCACGCAAGCCGACAGAGGCCACCTGCAGATTGTGCCGGACGGAACCCACGTTGACGATCACCAAGACACGGTAGCGATGGAGCAGCCGATTGCTGCCGGGAGATTCCGTCACTCTGCATAGTAACGGCACAATGCCTGTCATGCCATGGCGACCACAAGCCTTGGAGCTAATACGTTTGGCGAGAGAACAACGTCTATCATGCACTGCAAATCTTAAGCGTTTTCATCCATTGGATGGCATTAGTGGAGGTGGCATTCAAGAGTGGTATTTGCTGAAAATGGGCCAGAGAGAGATCGGTCCCCGATCGGTGTAAAATACGTTTTTCAGTGCCTGCCTGTTATCCGCCACGAAGGACAACGAAGGGTTTGTCTCGACACAGCATGAGACGCGAGAAAAGTACTCGTCACCAGAGTTAACTGCTCCAGTACAGTCGGCGCACCCTGCAGGCAAAAGCCTCCGTGTTATTGTCAAGCGTGGCCTCACCAGCGCTGACAGGTATCCCCATCACGAACCGGCAATAACAAATTATCCCAGATGACACCCCTGCATTGCACCATGGTTCTCGGGCCGCTGTACGATCTACGATATGGTGGCCAGGCTTGCGGGGAAACCGTTTAACTGGGGCACCCTCAGAACAGCTCGGGAGCTACCACGAGAGGACACGCCGACTGCAGTCAGAGCAGAACAATGCTGGATCAGGTACCGGCCGGTAACCTCAATCAGGCCTACAAACATGGCGGAGCCTCCTTTCAGAACACCTCTATGGTGTGTGTGTGTCGTGAGTGACGTGGGTAACTGTCATTGAAAACAAGTAGAATATAAAAACAACAACAACAGGAGTACTTGTCCATTTCTGTATGTCGTTATACCTCAGGTCATTCGCAACTGCGAGAGTACTCCAGCTGGTCAGTAAATACGTGACGATCACTATACAGAAAGTAGATGTTAACTGTTGGAAGGTCACCGAAATAACTACGCACGCGCGCGCGCATCATGCAGTCCGCTCCGTGCTGGGCGGGGGTGGGCGGGGAGGTTATGAACAATCCACAAACCCAGGAGCGCTCTTTGCCCCCCCCCACCTTCCCCGTGGTAGAAAAAATATCGCGCAGCCGCGAGACCCGAGGCTCGCCCGTTTAAGTGACAAACGACGCGACCTTTAACCCCCCCCCCCCAGCACGGGTTAAAAGAAGCTGGCAGGGTTCGGATGGTCGTTTAGTATGAAAGTACAAAAGAAATAATTATAATATTCATCATTGTAAAAAATAAAAACTCGACAAGGCGAAAACGAAAACGTTCCGTACAAAATAACACTGCTTGGTCATTTGAAACATTCTTTTGAGATGCGCGGCAAGGGCGAGTAGTTTCAAAAGCCGAAGTGGTCACGAGCGAACTGCCTGCCACCCAAATAAATATCTCCTATAGCTCGGCATTCATAAATACAAACATGCGTAGAAAAGCTGGAGGAGCCGCCAGGCGTCCCGATTTTATTACAATAAGTGCTTTTCGTGTGTGATTCCTCCTTTCATCTTTTCTTCTTACGTCGGGGGGGGGGGGGGGGCGGTGAAGAAGACGTGAATTCAGTGTTTGTTTTTTTACATTCAACAAAAAGACGTTGAGGAACAGGACGAGCCGAGCGTCCGTGAGAATTTAAGGCTGTTTCCGCAGAAGCCGTCGCCCCACTACCACACCCACCCCCCCCAACTCAACCGAGAAAGCGGTCACGAAGGCACAATTGTCCCAGCGCCCCAAGTCAACGACGGCCTTGCCGGAAAAAAGCAACCTCCAATACCTGCCGGTGTCGCTGGCTCCAGCGCTTGCCCCCCCCCGCCACCCCCCACCTGTACACGCGCGGCCCGACACGGCCGAACTTCAAATACCTTTTAAGAAATGTGTCGGGGATTTGGACAGCTCGGTTGCGTTACAGCCCCCTGACGAGCGTCGACATCCACGCGGCCTTTCCGGAGTGTTGTTACTGTCGAGGTAACGCCACCCGTTGTCTTCTGGACTAACAGCGCAGCCTTAGCCATTGTCGTCGCTGCGGCGGTTTTTGTTGTTGCGAGCGATCCATAACCAATGAAGGTCGGTGACGGCCTCACACCACTATCTCATCGCCGTCATCATTACGATTATTACTGCTGTGATTATTTGTGAAAAACCTTGTTGTTGATGTTGTTGTTGTTGTTGGTGGCCCCTTGCAGCCGAGTGGCGTCACCAGCCCCGAACGCCAGCAGCCGGAAGCCTTCCTTGTAAACGGTTTGCCGCTTCGACGCCTAAAGCTATGAACTCTGGGTGTCGCCGTGACACCGCCATGGCTTATCAACTTCAAGGACCTACGGTACCCCACGGTGGGCACGCTCTCCCTGCTCCCCGCTGCGGCCAAGCACTCGCACGTCAGCGTATCTCACCCCCAGCCCCCTCCCCCCCTACTATGCGCAGACCGCAACGACGCTCGGCCTTGCCAGCGCGGAGGGCGTCGGGGCAGCGGTGGCGGGCGCAACACCGCGGGCGCGGCACCGCGGGCGGCTCGCCGCGCCGGTAACCGCAGCGTCACCGTCACCGCGGGGCGCCACCACCACCTCCCTTCTCCCGCGGCTCCGAGCTGCTGTGGAGGCGGACGTGGCCAATGCAGGTGGGGTCCGGGGGGTAGGAAGGTGGGGGGTGGGGGCCACAGCCGATTCTTCCGAAAAACTAAACAAATTCCACGGCCAGTGTGGCCGGCCGCCGCCGTCGAAGGAAAGGTGGTCGCCAGACGGGGAACAGACCCTGCCGGCGCCCCCGCGCTCCTACGCCCCGGAGTCCTCTTCCATCGGCTCCTCGGGCGGCCTGCACGGACACACGGCATCCGCACGGCACTCGGTTTGGGGCGAAGGAGCCGCGGGAACGGCTCGGCTCGTTCGAGTCATCGGGCGGTGTGCGGTGGAGCCGGCGGCCGCTTTGAACGCAGCAAAACATTCATTTCGTCGTCAAAGAGCTGGAATTTTGCCAAAATAAAATCAGAAGCAATTTTATTGAGGCTGTATTGTGCAGTCATTGGCGACGAGATTGAGAACATCAACTCCACTACACTCAAGATTAAATTTTAATCAAGGAAGGCCGAGGCCTGGATTCGAACCCAGCGTCTCCGCGGTGGCCATCTTGGCGCTCTGACCCCCGCGCCACCTCGGCGATGTTGGCGTGACGGCGCTGCCCGCACCTGCCCTCCTCGTCGGCGCTGTGCTGCCGGCCGGCCACGGTGAGCGAGGCGAGCGCCGTGACGGTGTCGGCCTCCTCGCGCTCGTGGCCCTGCAGCTCCACGAGCGACAGCGCCATCGAGCGTGCGTAGCGGCACACACACGGCCACAGCTTCCCTGCACGCACGCACGTCCACACACGCGTACTTGCACACGCACGTCCACACACGCGGCGCGCACGTTCACACACACGTACTTGCACACGCACGCACATGGGTACGCGCGAACGTGCGGTACATATACCACGCACGTATATGTATCTTTGTATACACGTGTAGCCTTCACTTTTGGGGCAAGCGATATTAGGGAGCACCTATGAAGGTCGCCATGACACAAGAGGGGGGGGGGGCGAGTGGCCGGCACAATGCCCGGCCGCATTTGTCTTCCCCCGTGGCGATGTTTACACACCGCACCGTAACGATTACGATGATGAACTGACGCACACGTGCAACCGGAAACCGCCACGCACACAAAATACACGTGGTCAAGGTCAGGCGCTTGCGCATAGCCAAGAACACGACAGACACATCGGCAACGCGGGCAGAGAGCGAGGTGGCGTGATCGACGCTGGACCAGCCACCGCGGCGCTGCCACAGGCAACCAGAACGAACGCACGCACCATTAACCCTTTTAGTGATCCACTGCTTGATGGGGTGGCAGGGGGGGGGGGTGTCTTCGTAAGCCGCGTAAGTTGTGGGGGGAGGGGGCTATTTTGTCCATGCTTCACGACGCCGGTCAAGTGCGGCATTGGTGGATGCGGGGGAGCGCAGATGGTGGCGGCGCACGAGCACGTCACGAGACAACGGAATTCCCCCAACATCTACATACGGCACAGCCCCGCAAACCCGACGGGCGTTAGAAATGTACCGCCGATACGGGAGGGCGTTCTGTAAGAATTCAACGCAGCTGCTAACGCTGCTGGTGCAGCCTGTCTGGATTGTGGTGCGGTGGGCGTGGGGGGGCTACTCCGAGAGGGCAGGTGCGGGTGGTATGAGGTGGAGTGGCGGGGGAGGGGTGGGGCATACGTGTGGGCTGTATGTATGTAGATGTTGAACTTCCGTACGTAGCCAACCGTGCTAATCAAAGGTTCGGGGGAAGGACAACAAACTAAACGCAAAAAGCAGTTCTAAAGAAATGAGTTTTCAATCTAGGTGATGTAAGAGTGCATAGCTCCAGTGGCTTCCTAATATCGGAAGGGGAGAGCGTTCCAGACGGGTGCAGAAGCGCATCTGAAAGCGCCACGCGATGCGGTGACAGCCGTCTTTGTTCAATGGTCAGCCTAAACCCACTGCTGCTGCTGCTGCTGCGAAGATGTCCGGATTTTGTGTGTGAGTTTGTGCTCCTTTGACGAGATCAGCGAGGTATCGGAGTTCATTTGTGGCGTGTAATGAGTGCGACCTTATGACGTACGCGTCGCGGGGTGGCGCGTGTCGGGGCGTGGGTGGGATGAGAGGGTGCAGGGGGTGCGGGGGGGGGGGGGGGGCGGGGCAGCGTCCGATGGCGGGAGTGCGCACGCACGTGCAGGCCTCACCCTGGATCTGGATGACCTTCTCGAGCGACGCCACCGCGTTTTGGTTTGGCCGGCACTGAAGGACATCGGCAGGCAGCGGCTCGAGCTGCACCGGGGTGGGGGGGGGGGGGGGGGGCGGGGAAGGATTCGCAAGGAAGGGTTAAAGGATTGTCGTCACGCGAGACACACACGCGCGTTTCACGTAGACCCGTGTAGCCCAGGCGTGGACAGTCCGGGTGTTTTTGGGAAGAATTTGGGGAAAATCCCCCCAACAGGAAGTGGATACCCCCACACTTGACGACACGTGGTGCTCGAGTGAGATACTTTCGTAACACTTTCTTGTTGTTATGACTCACTACACATTACGGGAACTGGCGCTATATCTCAGGCACAGTGCGATATCTCAGGCACAGTGTGATATTGCACGACACGCTATCGATATATCACTGCGGCCTAGAGAAAAAGCCTAAAACTAGAACGCCTCCAGTTCCAAGAGAATTTGATCGAAACCGTCGCCTTCTTCTCTTCGAGTGCTCAACCCGCCCGCGATTTGACGGCGGGTGCCAAAGAGCCCGAGCGTTGAAATTCTTGCCCCGAATTCCGCCTTTTCCAAGCGGAGGGAAGCAAACTGCACGGGAGAGCGATCCAAACAGATGCGCCGAGATGCCCACCATCGTTAGCACTCGCTATCCACGCTTCGAGTTTGAAGGGTTGATTTCGGCAGAGCGGAGCCTTGGAACGAATTTGATTGCTGGCAAAGAAGCGTGACTTTACTTCGGTTTTCATCTCATCCCCAGAAATCTGTCCTCTTTCCACAGCCACGTGGCCAGCTTTGTTTCTAACCCTCGCAGTGTTCCCAAGTGTTTTTTGTGGTCACTTTGAAGTTGCGCGCCAGGGGCTTGGACGGCCGCCCCCCCCCCCCCCCCCCCCCCAACTGCTCCTCTAAATCACGAGGGCGACGCTGCGGCACGCTCCTCATCCTCCTCCGACGTCGCGAGCCGCCACCTGCGAGGTAGCTGTGCAGCGGCGGGGGCACGTCGCGTGCGAGTGATGGGACGTGCGGTCGTTTGGAATTGCGCGCCGCGGACGGACGCCGTGTGGTACACGGCGGGGTCGGCAGCACGCAAAAATACCACGGCTTCGACCGCTGCTTTGGGAAAATCCAAAGTCGGTCCCACGTGCGCCGCTACTGCTAACAAAAAAAGAGTCCACGAGCAACAGGCGGAGGAATCCGGTGCCCGCCTGGTCCCCACACAGCACGCGAATGGCACGTGGGGGAGACCCGCTTCGTTCCGTCAGTCAGTCAGCCAGACAACACACAGGCAGTCAAGTCAGTCAGATCCATGATAGAGGTTTTTTATTATTTTGGATTAGGTCGTGTAAATATAAATGTTGTGTCGTTAAACCCGCCGCCACCCGACAGCCAATTAGTAAGATTTGTGACGTAAGCAAAAATGCCAATTAGTTACTTGTTCAGCACACCGGTGTGTTGGAGAGTAAACTCACCCAATTGTAAATGTTGTGGGTTTACTCTCCAACACACCGGTGTGCTGAACTAGTAACTAATTGACACGTTTTGTTTACGTGACGAACCTTACTAATAAATTGACTGTTTCGGGCGGTGACGGTTTAACGAAACATTTATATTTAAGCGATCTAACCCAACTAAAACCCCCCCTCTATTATGAGTAAGATAGTCAATCGGTCGGTACGATACAAGGCCAGGAGGATAATCAGGAAGACACAAGGATGGGCAGACAGGAAGACCGTGATACAGACAGAGGGTCAATAAAATAGTGAAGGAGGCAATAGGGCAGTCAGACAGTCTGCCAGCAAGACAGCCAGACAGTGAGTAAGATGGTCATAAAGCCAGTCGGTCAGAATATTGCCGGACCGCACAAAACGTGCGCACCACTCTCCGCCTTCCATGATGTGGCCACCTCCACTGTCTTTAACGTCGTGTCGCCTCCCACCCCCCCCCCCCCCGTGCAGCACATTGCCTCCAAAGCAGCAGCAGCATCACCGACATTACACGAAGCATCCGCGGTAATAAGTTGCGTCTGTCCCCCGAGAATCGACGGCGCACGCACAGCGTCTGGCAGGTACTCATCAGAATCTTTAGTTAGGGATGTGCCGAGCGATTTGGCAGCAAACACCTTCACACCGCCCGTTGATCACCGAGGGTAAGTTTGGCTGATCTGGCTGCGTAGATCTGTTTCCCCTCATTCGCGCTCATCCATATTCATCTCTCCCTCCCGATGCTCTGCGCCCAGTGGCAATGGACTCCGACCTCCCCCCCCGACCCCCCCCCCCCCCCCCCCGAGGACTGGCGACGGCTTCTTCGTCGAGGTCACGGGGTTGAGGCGTAGCGACGGCTCCCTGCTATACCAAACTCCGGAATCATAATCTGTATTCATCCTGGAGGAATCTGCTTTCATTCGTTTCATATTTACGTACGTACATATGTTGAGCGTCTTTCACACTGAACGTAGCCGACCGTGCTAATCGGAGGTGCGGGGGAAGGACAACAAACTAAACACAAACATCTGTTCTAAAGAAATGAGTTTTCAATTTAGATGTAAAAGTGCATAGCTCCAGTGGCTTCCTAATATTGGAAGTGAGTTCCAGATGGCCGCGGAAGTGCATCTGAAAGCGTTCGATGCGGTGACCATCTTTGTTCAATGGCCAGCCAAAAGCCGCTGTGACGATGACCAGAGTTGGCGTGGCGATGGGTTATGCTCCTTGACGAGATCAGCAGCAAGGTATTGTGGGGTTCATTTGTGGCAAGCACTCTGTGTGTAATGAGTGCGACCTTGTAAATTGATTCGTTTGGAAACCGGAAGCCAATACAGCTCGGCGAGCACTGGACGGACGATGGTCGGATCTCGCAGTACCCCGTCACGACACGCGCCAACGGATTTTGTCCACACGCTGCAGCTTGGTAATGTTTATATTCTACGTGCCAACGAGCGTACGGGGGGCACGAGCGGTTGCCGCTCACGCAAAACACACAAACGGCGCACCAAAAGGCACGACAGCGGCAGTTGGCCAGACCGAGGCGTCTTTAGCGATGCCCCGGCGTGCAGCGTGTGTCACGGCGATCACCTGGTTGCCCAGCAGCACGGTGACGCACGCCTCGGAGGCGTCGCAGATGGCAGTGAGGTCGTGTCCACCCTCGAGCGCGAGCACAACGCGTCCGCCCGCCAGGCTCATGAGCTGCCGCGTCAGGTACCCGAAGCCTGCGCGAGAGGGGACGTACGGGCGCACGCACACGAGCACAAGCACGGGTACACACATGAAAGGACGCACGCACACGTGTACGCAGACAGCAACAGCCGCCACCATTTGTCACCCGCTAAGTGGAGCACCGCGGCGCTTGCGACAGGCTAGGAGCATGCTCGGGTCACGTGAGTTGTTGAAGGCTCGATGGCAGGGAGGTCACAGGACGGGCCAAGGGGTTATGGGTCAACCCATACGTGCGCACACACACACACGCAGGACAAGCGTACATACACACGCACACAACACACACACACAACCATGTGCATCCACACACTCATATGCACAACAAAATGGGATAGCGTGCTTTTGGCCTGGACGGAATGCTGGGGCCCTGGTGGTTAGGGAGCGTCTGGCATGGTCGGTGTTTGTACGAGTGGCCGGCGGGTCCACCGCACCGCTCTCTCCAGCAACCGCACCGCTCTCAAGCAACCGCGCCACGCCGCAGAGGCACGTGCACGCTTGTTTGGGTTGCACACACACACGGACACGCACGTGGATGCCCGCGCGCGCACACACGAGCGCCTACACGTGCAAACTGGAATACAAGCAAGAGCATGAAAACGCAACACATGTGCTGTGGTCAGGGAAATATGCGTCGGGACGAGACTCGGCTCATGATTAAGCATTGATTGGGAGCAGTCCCACAGCCAGGTGCAAGAAAAGGGCCTGCACACTCACAGAAGCACACACACACACACAATATATATCCCAGCACACACACACACAGTATCCCAGCACACACACACACACAGTATCCCAACACACACACAATATCCCAGCACACACACCCGCAATCTCCCAGAACACAAGCACACACAATCACTCTCAACGTGCACACACACATATACCCTCCCGGCACACAGCACACACACATCCTGCATGCACATATGCACACAATCTGCCAGGACACATATACACATTATCCCAACGAACACAAAGACAACGATTCCCCGAATCGCCTTCAACAGACCGTTGGGGCAAGTGCTGTTTGCGAGCACCTATGAAGGCCAGCACAGCACACGAGGGGGTGGGAGGCCAGCGCCATGCACGGCCGCTTTTGTCTCCCCAGTGGCGATGTTTACACATTGCCTCAGGTACTCATTTAGGGGAGGCCGAGGACCGGTTCAAATAATCATCATTGGTGTTGGCCATGAGCGGGAATCGAACTCGGGCCGTCCGGGTTTGTAGCGCAGCACAGCGCTAACTTGCTGTACTACAAACACGCACAAACGCACCCTCCCAGCACACACGCACACCCACGCTCCCTAAACAGAGCATGCTGGTCACGGTGCCGCCCCTGCACGGCACGTGCAGTTGAAAGCCGCGTTTGGCGGCGAGGTCACCGCCGCGCCGAGCGGTCCAACAAAAGCACGGCCGTCACGACGGCATCGCGTGCGCCGACTTTGGCAGACGCGCACGGGGCAGGATGTGAACGTCACCCTGGCAAGGACCAACTCACAAGGGCCTGCCCGGCGGCTCAAAAGGCAGACCAAACAGAAGGTAAACATCACTATCAGCAGCATCGTCGTCGTCTTCACCATCCTCATAAGCAGCAGAATCTAGATAATTATCACCAGCAACATGGGAAAGAAAATATAATGCGCCCATAGGGTGGAAGGCAGATGTAACCAAAGTTGAATTCAGCAGCATCGTAGGAATATTCTTCACCATCTGCAGTAAGAACATGATGGTCATCAGCAGCATGAGCAGCATGATAGAAGCAGCAGAATCAGAATATTTATTTACACTGGAGGAATCCAAAGAGCGATGCCATTTTTCACAGATGTCCAGCAGCAGCAACAGCAACGTCAGTATCCACACTGTGAGCAGCGTCATCAGGTTCACCGTCATCTCAAGTACAACGTCCACGTTATGGCAACGTGACACGTGCGTCACGGCGCCCTCGTCAACGGCGGTCTGCAGGTCGCGCCGTTCCCAACCGCAGCCCCCCCCAGGATCACGCGGTAGCAGCAGCAGCGGCGGCGGCGGCAGCAGCAGCAGAAAGTGTGACGCAGCATTTCCCAGCGGCGCTCTCACCACCGCAAGGAAAACCACTCACGGCCTCCCCGCCGTCTGCTGCTGATTGCGGGAGTCGTCATCGCCCGCACCACGAGGGGCGTGCGGCACGGAGGCTGGGCCGGGTGTGTTGGAACGGCACTCCAGACTCCTCGTCCCCCCACGCAACGCACTCATCCCCATCCGTGCGGACGGGCGGGCGGGAGGACGGCACCCTCCCCCCCCCTAACGCACCCACTCATCGCACCGCACAGCTGCGGTACGCTGATGAGATAAACAGACCGAGTCGGGAGGGAGCTAGGCTGGGAGGGTTGGGGGGGGGTAGGTTAAGTAAGTGTTGGAATCGGTTAACAGATGTCTCTCCGTCAGCACCCCCGCCACCTCTCCCATCTCCTTCTCCTCCCCGACTTCTCTCCCCAAGTCCCGGGCTCCTCGTGACCCCGCCCCTCCCTTTCAAATCGACGCCCACGGGGGCGCCCGGGCGGGCACGGCAGGGAGGTACAAACCACCTCGCCCCGCACGCTCGGCCATCGGGCCCCCCTGGCCACTTTCGACGCTGTCGGTTGGGGCAGGGCCAGGCCTCGGGCCCCTAGTGGGGGATCGCGGGTGGCCTTGACCATCTGGGTTTTTGCCGGCGATTTGGGGAAAAAAAAACTAACAAAAAATCTGCAAAAAAATCGAGCTGAGAAATGTGGCGCTGCTCGCCGCAAGCTTGACGCGGCGAGAGAGCTCTGCTCAACGTCCGCTCAAGCGACGTCTGCGTTGAATAAGGAGTTTTGGGAGTGGCCGATTGAAAAAACTCACATGATGAACGATACCTAAGCCCAATGTAAAACTAATTGCCGTAACAATAATCCAAACGCTAACCTCCAACGCTCAAGTGCAGCGAGGTATTTACAGTCGCGAACGGGCGACCCATCTCAAACTGGATGAGAGGCACGGAGGGAGAGTACGACAGAGGGGCGGAGTGAGACACACGTGCACACAAACGTACAGAAAGAGAGAGAGAACCAAGGCTGCGGCGTGCGGCCGGGCTGGAGTAATGATGTTGCCAGCGATTGTGTCCGGATGTGAGCGTGGCGCCCGTGCATGGGCCTTGGCAGTGGGCGGTGGGAAGGTGCAAATGTGCGTGGGATCCATCCCGCTCCCAAGTAAACACAGAACCGTTTTTAAACAATTTGCTTTATAAAGCAGACAGCGTTTTGATGTGAAAACCATTCAACTTGGGGGACATAAACAGCGGGCAAAGGCCAGGCAATTTTGCAGTGCGTAAATATAACAAATGAAGCTTAGAAACGTCGCGCAAATAATTTCACAGCTAATAGCTTTTCCATTTTTTCTTTGGCACGGTGTGAGAGAGGAGAAGAATCGGCTGTGGGGCTGGAGAAGAAGGGACACGCAAAGGAGACACAGGGAGCCGGTGCCGGCGATGCCACTGCGGCCAGCAACGAGCGCGCTGGCGCTGACCCAACAACCCCCAAACCTGACCTTGGCTCTGACCTTGACCTCAGCCAAATCCCGACCTCAACCCCAGTATGAACATCGCCCCCCTTGAGTGACCAACCATGGCGTAGCGTCGCCACTCGTCGGGGGTAGCCAAGGGGGAATGTACCCCGAGCTCCAGCATGGAGCGAACGGTGCCACCACAGGGGCCTCCCAGGGTTCAGAGTTCACCGCGGCCGGCGTTCGCATTTCTCCCGCTGGCGCCGTCAAGAGGTCGCGGGGACACGGGGGCAAGGAGGCGCCGGGCGAGTTCGGCCCGGGGGTTGTACGGTGGGAGTGACGGACGGGAGCTGTGGGGGAGGGGGACAAGGGGTAAGGTGGCAGTGGCGGCGTGCAGGACGCACACTTAGCGGAGACGCTGTAGCCGCCGAGCTGCGGCGGGTGACCCTCGACGGCATCGAACCCGGCCGACACGAGCACCAGCTCCGGCGCAAACTCCCCCGCGATCGGCATCACCACCGTCCTGCGGGGACCGGGGTCGGGGGTCAGGAGGTGGACAATCGGCATCGTTTATTATTTTTATTTCCGCGCCTCCCACGCAGTGCATATTGAGGAGTCGGAAAGAAAGCGGTGTTTGAGATAATTACCAGCGAATCACAAAGGAAGGAAGTAATTACGATACAAATACACTGCTCACAATCAGTACACACAATACACACGAACTGACGAGAATAAATAAGTTAAACTGCCCTCGAAACTCCTCCCTTTTTTGCTCACTTTATTTATTATTTCACATCATTCACACGCCCTCCGAGATTGACAACCCTCGTCGTTTCATCAGCCGAGTTGCCGACCACGCGACTGCGCCCACATCCAACCTCCACGCGGTTACTGTGCGGCGTTCAACACAGGAAATCCCGCGGGCACCGTGACGTCCGGCGAAAATCACGCGCTCGCAAGTGACAAGGTGCCGGCGTTTGTTTAAAAGAATCTCGCTAACCGCTAACAAATGCTGACGGCCGAGCCATGAATGTCTTCTTTATACGCACCACCAGCATTGCTGTCCGCCCTTCCTGCTCACGCCACCCCCTCCTGGGACCCAGGGCCTGCCCGACCCAGATCAAGAGGAAGGTGAGCGTGGACAGACCCAGCCCTGGGTTGACTGCCCCCCCAGGTCCCTACAAACGTCCGAATCGGTTCTCTCCGCGGTGACGTTTTACAGCTGGAGAATAAAACGCGGCGAGACGTAAAACCGGAGCGACGGCTCCAAAACACTCGCAGCGGTGGCACAGTGCACCGTGACACGGAACATGCGCAGCGCGATCACCTGATACGCACAAACACAATACGCACACCACCAATGCGGCACGCAGAGCAATGCACCGCTCATCGCATGCACGGCGCACTTATCCGACGTGTGCACTCGCTCAAGTGCGCGCACACGCGCACAGCACGCACGGCACAGCGTGCGTGTACCGCAGAGCGGCGTGCGTGCAGCTGCTCGCGTGCACGGCCACTGCCGCGGCTGCCGGGATCGCTGCAAACGCTCAACCGTCCCGCGACGCGGAGATAAAAGGCAACGACGCAAAAATGTGCCCAAATAAAAAGCACACGGCCCTTCAATTTCGGCGCGAGCATTTTGAGCACCGTCACGTAAACTGTCGGTGATCGGCAGAGACGGAGGGCGGACACTCGGGACCCCCTTTTTATTCATCTTGGTTCAAACGGCGGGGCCGGCATCAGAGCAGCAGAGCGCGGCGCTCGTTGCCAAAGCCGCCGATGGCTCGGTGCCGCGCCGGGGCAGCTGTTTGCCATTACGCCGTGAGATTCATAAGCGCGTGCGCCGCACTCCAACGCCGTAGGTGGGCGAGGCGTGATTGTGAGTTGTCAAAATGAGTTGTCAAATCCGTTAAATTGATAAATTGGCTTTGTGCGGTGTTAATATTCTTTTCTGTAATACTGTATTTGGGGAGCAGCAAAAAAAAAGGAGAGTTTTTGCCCTAATCTCCGTTGACGCATGGCAGGGCTGCAGCTTGCTCGGGCTGACGCTCAAATTCTGACTTCTGCGATTAAGCTGAAAATGATTACGAGCGAGCAATGCAGACTTCTCCGCGTCTCGGATGGAAATTGCTGCGAGCACGAGCAACCTCGCTCCCAGAAACCCATACCTGGTCGGATCGCAATCTCGGACAACTCCCCTGTACTTTTCTTTTTTACTCAACTTCGTTTCAACGCAAAATCAATTTCAGGACCCTTGCCACAATCACCGCACCGGCTTACGGGACGGCAATAACGGCGGTAACCGTACGCGGCCAGTTGTTGCAGACGTGACCTATTAGTGTGCACTCTCAGCAGGGGAACTCGCAGTGGGAGGGGGTTAAAATGGACAGGCGGCAGGAGAGGTTGTGGGAGGGGAGGGTTGTTGGGTGTGTGGTGGTGGTAGGGGGAGGGAGGGAGGCAGGGACGGGGGGGGGGGTTGGGGGTGGGGAGCGGCAAAGTCCTCACACATGAAACGCGGCGTGCAAGGCCCCGGGCTAAACCGGCGGCACGGGCAGATTACGGCTAAATTGGAAACAGTCCGCGTGCTGCCAGGCTGGACGGAAAACAAACCGAGCCGTATGGTCTGAATTAGCGTCAAGTACATCCAGCTCGAAGCTCTCCCCTCCTCGCTTCAGCCCAGCTCAACGCAGCGCTAGACCATCCCGGGCCAGCCCAGCCAACCAGGGACGAGCAGGCAGTCCCACCAGCCCGCCCCAAATCGGCGACCTTAACCCCCCCCCACCCCCCCACTGCTACCGCCCCCCGCCCCCACCACTAGCCATCGCTTTCATCTCGCGGCCGGTGAGCCGGGGGCCTCCGCGCAGGCAAGGCATGCGGACTGGCTGACATTTCGGCGTTTAAACTACCGGAAAGGGGGGGGGGGGGGGGGGACCGCGTCGACAGAGCCAGCGGCCGGTCACCATTACACGTGCCGGCGAGCGACGGCAGCGCGACGGTGGCGCGACGACAGCGAGGGCTGCCGGTTGATGGCGGACGCCGTTACCTGAACGCGGCGAGGTACTCGGCGTCGCCCATGGGTGGGTCCACCCCTCCCGTCCACGCCACGTTCACCGTGAAGCCCACGCCAGGCCCTGTGCCCACCTGTCATCGTCGTCACAGGCACCATCATGATCATTATCATCACCACCACCATCTTATTGTCATTATCATCAGGGTCATTATCGTCATTGCCATCATCATGGCCATCATCATAATTATTGTAGACACCATTGTCATCATGATTATCATAGTCACCAAAATAACATTTTCTGATATGCGTGTGAGTGTACGTATACAAGTAGTCATATCAGTCAGTCAACCCATGGCACCTGGGTCTGTCCCATTACCTGCCAACAGGTGTTTGACACCTAACGTGGCCTTAAAGTGCATAGCCTGGCACAAGCGCCATGGTGACATCACCACCACATAGTGGCGAATGGCAGTTGTTGTTGTTGTACAAGTAGTAACAAAGACAAATTAAACTCCAACTGCAGAATAAGCCAAATGCTGTGGGCCCACAAGAATAACTGTGTACATGAGGAGACATCTCACAGAACACACACTGAACACGGGATTCTGAACACGGCGCATAACGAGTGCACAGAAACGCACAGCGGCCATAAAAAGCTAAAAGCAATGACAGGAGAACATAGTCCTGGCTTCCCGTGAGTCTCCGCTGCCACCAACCGAGACCTCCACGCGGTGCCACGGGGGGTGGGGGGACAGGGCTCCCAGACCGCAGTGCGGGGAGATGAGACACAACAAAGAACTATTTAAAAAAATTCTTTACTAAACTAATTTTATTTTACCAGGTAAGGCCCACTGAGCTATGTAGCTCTTTTTCAGAAACGACCTGGCCAGAAATGGCTTATCACGTGGAACATGTATAGCAGCCAATACTCTAAACGCACGTTTATAAATGTGGAGGGAAAAACCGGAGGACCCGGATACAAAATCTGCGCGACCACGGGGAGAGAGACATGCAAACCCCAAATATACAGCAGGAGTCAGGGTCAGGATGGAACCCACGACCTCCTGTATACCGGGTGAGGTAGTTGACATCTCGCCACCATGGCGCACCTCTGACTTCTGCGAAGACGAGTAAGGCCTTGGCGAGTTGGGGGCACCCGTGAGATCCCACACGCATGCGGTCCTGTACGCACGCAATCCCACACGCGCGATCCCGCACGCGCGATCCCGCACGCGCGCGGTCCCGCACGCACGCGATCCCGCACGCGCGCGGTCCCGCACGCACGCAATCCCACACGCGCGCGATCCCGCACGCGCGCGGTCCCGCACGCACGCGATCCCGCACGCGCGCGGTCCCGCACGCACGCGATCCCGCACGCGCGCGGTCCCGTACACGCGCGATCCCGCACGCGCGCGATCCCGCACGCGCGTGGTCCCGCACGCGCGCGGTCCCGTACGCATGCAAGCAGCCTCACCTCCTCGGGAGCCCCGCTGCCTGGGAAGAAGTTCCCGTTGTCGTAGCGGTGCAGCGAGACGTAGAGGACGCCGGGGTCGCTGTAGAACGCCTGCTGGGTGCCGTTGCCGTGGTGCACGTCCTGAAGCACGCGCACGCACACACGCACGCACGCACAAGCGTGAACACGTGGGAATGAAACATTGAAGTGCACAGGAACACACCAACACGCACGGCAACGCGCAAATAAAACACAGACGCACGCGCTCGAACAAACGCGGCACGTGAACGTACATACACACGAATATGCGCGGATATGCTCGGATACACACGCGACAACATCCGCATGGACACTAAAACACAAACATATGCTTAAACACAATAACAGACACATACAAATGCAAGAACATAGAAATAAGCAAAAAGACGCACAAGCACACATCGGTGATGAACACACAATGAACAACATACTTGGCCACCGTTATCTCCCCAGTGCTGATGTATACACACCGCACCCGCTATTCATTTATTGCTTGCTCTACCTAAGGGAGGCCCAGGACTGGTTCAGATACCAAATGTATTTGAAGTTAACCATGAAATGAACTCAAATGACCGCGTTTATAGTGCAGTGTGAAAACTACTGCACCACTGCTCAGCACACAAACACACGCACACGCAAATGTGTTTGTGTATATACACACACACGCACATGTGAGAACAGAGACACACACAATAAAATGCACAAACACATTTACCAGTCAGGCTTTGGCCCAGAGTAAACAATATTCATGGAATACCAACACTTAAAAAGGAGCACAGGCAATGCCAGTAATTAGTTTGCTGGACATTCATACAAATACTCAGCGTTATGTATGCACAGGATGAAACTGCTTTCAGACATGCAATGCTAGCCACACCACAGAATCAGCGCAGCGAGAATGTGATAGCGGCTTAACAGGGAACGGTGAGTCACTGCACTTGCTCATTTGCACCACGAGGGCGCGGTGTTCAGTGCCGTCTGTGGTGGATCAGTGGGTGTGGGTGAGTCCACCAAAAAGGTGTCCACCAGCCCCATCAGCCGCACGAGGACGATCCACCGCTACCCGGGCCATATCGTGCCCAGCGATCTCCAGGCTGAGCCTCACACCCCACCCCACCCAGCGTTGCCAACTCTTTAAAGTGGAAAGTTACCAAACGAACCTCAAAATGTCACCAGATAGACATTCTTAAAGCCTCTGGAGCTATGCACTTTTACATCTAAATTGAAAACTAATTTCTTTACAACTCCTTGTTGTTGCGATTAGTTTGTTAGTCCTTCCGCCGCACCTCCGATTAGCACGGATGGCTACATACGGTGAAGCTCAAGATAGATACTAAAGATATCAGTCGGTAATTTACCAAGTGTTACGCATAGTAAAGTGATACAGGAGCCTAATGTATGATTTTTAAAATTTTATTATTGGTGATACAGAATCCTTAATTCACACCTGGAATTGCTACTAGAACCTAATTATGCCCCTTGTCTCGGACAACCACTCGATACGTCACTTGTCGTTTTGACAAGATGCCTTCACCCAGGGCAAACCAGAAAGCCACTGGATTTGCCGATAAATCGCCGAGTTGGCATCACTGGAAAACACCTCGCTTCCGGCAGAGGCTGCGGGGGTGGGGGGGGTCAAAGGACCCTCAAAGCCGCACGAGCGAGTAAGGGGGCTCATCAGCCCCAGAGACAAAAACGCTCCTTCACACGAAGCGGGGAAGCCTCGGTGTTGATTTAAGTTAATGACGATGGCAGGGCGCGGCCGGGGCCTAGTGAAGGCCTGGCCGTTTTCCCAGCGAGCGCCGCGGGGGCCCCGGGGCTGTTTGTGCACGGCCGGGGGCCCCGCGGGGAGCGAGGGGTCGGCGGTTCTGAAATCTGCGGCCTCCTGCCGGGGCTTAGGCTTTCCAAACAGATCAAATGCCGTCCCTTCCGTGAAACCGCCGCGCCAATCTCTTGCCTCAACTCCGCCTAGGCCTCAGCGCCTGCCCTTGTGAGGAGGGACTGCAGTGTGCATCTGTCTTTATGAGGCACTTCACCATTGGTGGCTGCTGTTTAAGGCACTTCGCTATTTGTGTTTATGTTTAAGGCACTTTGCCATTGGTGCTTGCCTTTTAAGGCCCTCGACTATTTCAGTATTTTATTTAAGGTATTTTCCTATTGATGTCTGCCTTCTAAGGCACTGTTATTCATATTTATGGTTTAAGACACTTTTCCACTGATGTTTATATTTCTATTTCAGGCACTTTAATTAACACTTGAACACTGGTGCCTGCCATTACAAGCACTTTACACCCGCGTGTAACATTTCACACATGCGATGTCTCCTCAATGTGCCAATGTGGACAATGTTCGTGCCTTTCGAATCGGTCATTTATAGCTGCGAGGGCCCCAGGAATGACACTTTCACAAGCATCGGATGCCAGTCCACGTTCTCCCTGCCTTCTCCCCTGGATCCCAACAACTCAACGGCCATCGTGAGGAACGGGGCGACCCAGGAAGATGAGCACCGTACGTCAGGGCGAGAGCGGTAGGGGACAGGGGGCATAGGGAATGAGCGACGGGAGTGACTATGGGGGGGGGTGATGGGCAATGCTCACCCAGTCCACGATGAGGATGCGGCTCAGGTGCAGGCGCTGCTGAAGCATCCGTGCAGTGACCGCCACGGAGTTGAAGATGCAGAAGCCCCTGCGGACAATCGATCAAGGCCAGAGGAGGGTGGGGGGGAGGGCGGGGGAACACGATGTCATGTGATCAACAACTGCGGCAGCAGAAGCAGCGGCGGAACAACAATTGGAGTAATGTTAACAATAGGCTTGTTTCAATCTTGTCCTGGATAACGTTGACATCCACTGACGAATGAAGGTCTCCGCATGCCATTGCCATCTCTTGCAGTCAGTCTTGTGACGCAACAATCCATCTAGTTCGTGGACGCAAATTTTTATAATTTGCACGTCATTTGAATAAATCCTCAATGTGCACATGCACGGTCTGACGGCGTGATCGCAAGACTCGACAAATTGTAGTTACACATTTACCATCGCCCACCCAGCCGGGCGGCATCACAAACAAGCACTCGACCCCACAATCGTGCCGTGGCGCTCTGCAGCTATACCAGGTCTTCCTTTGCAAACAGAACTGTCGAGTCTCAATTAAGCTCTCGCTTGGTTACGAGTGGAGGCCGTCACCCACTCACATGCCCGAGCGCTAAGAGATGAACGCCACCGAGCAGCACTCACATGGCGAGAGACTCCTCCGCGTGGTGTCCTGGAGGCCGCACCACAGCAAAGCCGTTCTGGCAACGACAAGACGCACACGCGGGCACACTCGCGCGTAACTACACATGCGCGCATTCACAGGTGGACAATAATCCTCCATTTATCATTAGGGACGGTTGGGGCAAGTGCCGTTAGCGAGCACCTATTAAGGCCAGAACAATGCACGAGGGGGGTGGGGTGCGGGGCCAGGTGCTGGGTTGGCCGACGTCGCGTTAGCTCACTCCACCCGTCTATGGGCGTCACGGCCCGGGCTGCCAGGCCTCGCCGCCACTGCCCTGCGCTGCCTCCCGGTGGGCGCTGCCGCCGCCGCCGCCGGCCTCACCTTGAGCTCCCCGGTGGCCACCTTGAAGGCAACCTCGAGGACAGAGCCCACGGCGAGCCGCGCCGCCATGGCCGAGTGGGCCTCGTTCCAGATCGTGTCGCTGTCCACCTGGCCAACGACGACAAAAGCGCTGGAGTTAGCGGGCGGTTAGCGGCGGTCACCGGTTATCAGCGGTAAGCTTAATCCAGGCCCAAAAGCTTGCATTAAGCAAAAACCACGACTGGATATTCTATTTCCATTTCTTTAGCATTCAAATGCGACTGCATCTGAAGACACTGTACAGGCATTTTTATTTTTCAGAGCAGCAATCGGTCATGGGCACAGGAAGGGAAAGTCTTGAGCCTGGAACAGAGGCAGGTGTTTGACAGCACAATTGGTGCTGATGCTCTACAGATAGTAAGGGAAAGCGCTGTTAGTGAGCAGCCATTCAGACTGGCACGACAAATTAAGTGTTGGGGTATCCAGCATCACACCAAGGCCAAATAACACGCACAAAGACAAAGATTTCCCGCGGAGCCTTTAACAGACTGTCGGGGCAAGCGCTGTTAGCGAGCACCTGTGAAGGCTAACACGGCACACGAGGGAGGTGGGTGGCCTGCACAACGCCTGGTTGCCTCTGTCTCCTCAGTGTTGATGTTTACACACAGCAACCAGGTACTCATTTGAGGGGAGACCCAGGACCGGTTGAATTTACATTGCTTATGGCTTTATTTTGGTGATTTCGAAAAGTTTTTGGTTTGGCCATGTTTGTTTGTTGTAGTACGGAGTTAGAATGATGGCTTTAATCTAAGTTGTTTTGTGGTTGTTGTTGTTGTTTGACTTGCATCCCACTGGGATTTTTGCACAGCGTTGGTGTACGGTGCTTTTTTTATGAAAGACTTTGCAGTTTTTTCCTGGATTTTTCTGTTTGCGCATAGTCACTTTAAGATGTTTTCTTGTTCATGCTTTTTTGTTGCAGTTGCACCCGATGCAAGAGCCGAATGGCTCACAGGGCTATACCAAATAAATGAAACTGAGAAAAACTGAAATATTCACCACTGTTATTGGTCACGAGTGGGTATCGAACTTCGTAGCGAGGTATGGTAACCACTCTGCTACCGCTCACCGTGTCATTTACACAGACACACACAAAGATGTCACGATTAGCTTACAGGCTGTTGAAACACACGAGCCAAACACACGCACAGCTTAAGAGAACGTCACAACAGCCTAATGAGGTTACGGATTGTGTAGCCTCGTGAGCAAAACCCAGGAAATTTGCTCAAATTAGTTTTGCATTAGCGTTGCTACTCAGCTGGTGGAAATTGTAAAACCGAGGATGCATTTTTCCACAGCTGTAATTTATTTACTTCACGCACGCTGAAACAAGCGCGGGATGGGAATTCGTGCAAGCATGCGCGCGTACACACGATGATTTCATTCCAGAAAGAATTCTTCCTCGAAACGCGCGTCGTCGAAGAGAGAGCAAAAAACGCTCAAGAATAAAAAAAACGCATTTCGCTTTGTGCGGACAGAAGCCAAGAAAACAAACAAAAACAAACCCAGGGCCATCATCAAAGGCCAAGCGCCAAGCTCATGTGAACAGAATGAGCCCTCCACCCCCACCACGGAGGAGATCCCCATGAACTCCTCCTCCTCCTCATTCCCCCCGCCCCCTGCCCCCCACAGTTCCGGCCTCCTGTGGCAGATGGCGTCAATCTAACCTCCTGTGGGGGCCCGGCTCCCACCCCCTGCAGGGAGACAGGAGGGGGCACGAGCACGGGGAGGGCGGGGGGGGGGGCACGCATGCAGACCTCATAACCCACCCCCCTACAACCCAACAACCCCAAAATCATTCCCTAGCCGGCTCTACAAAGTTCACGGGCCCAGGCTGCGGTGCGATTCTCGTGATTTGTTTGCGCGTCCGCCGTAGGCGCGGCTGCGTCGGAGCGGGACGATCGCGGCCGGAGGTGCCCCACGAGCACCACGTGGACGTTCGCCGATGCGTCGCGGAACAGCGCGGCGACGACGGCGGCAAGAGCCAGGTTTGGTGATTTATGGCGGAGCGGAGGCGTTCGACACTAAACTGCGGTCTCCTCCCCCACGCCGCTCTCCCCCGCTTCTAGCGGGGCGGCAGAGCGGCACCGTTTTACGCGCAGTTTACGAGAAACAAAAGATTCCTCGCCCTAAACCAACACAAACACCGACGGGCGGCGGTGGCGGCGGCGGCGACTGGGGCAGCTGTCGGCGGACGTCAAGTGTGGTGCGAGTGAGCGACGGCGCCGTCTCGTGTGACACGAATGTTGGCGTCTCTCACCAACGTGTGTCACACGGCGCCGCCTCCAGCTCAACAGGAGCTCCAACTAACAAATGTCGTGCAATGCGTAAATCGAATCGAACAGGTGAGATGGCGCCAGGGTGAAACCTTCTCTTCTCATGGGGGATTGCTCACACCACTCGGGTCCCCGAGACTTTTGACTTTGCCAACAACGCACCGACAAGAAAATAAACAAAAATATCCAACGTGCCATAGGTGCATAGAATGTTACCTTTCACTTACAGGTGGCCACGCCTAAACCCAGCGACTCGACTCGCCAGGATGTTCATCCTGGGGCACGAGAGCAAGCGATGGGGGCGGAACCTCCGAGCTCAACAATAGGACTCGCTAAAGGAAGGAAGTCGATCGACCAATGGGACTCGGCTCATCAGCAAGGAATGCCTGCGCTGCAAAGGCAGTGGCCGTGGCCCCATGTGTTTCCCATCCGTTTGCGTTCCCGCGGCGATAATTGCATTCGGTGTCGCGAGCGCACGCGCGCGGCCATGAGCGCCGCCCGGGCGCACGGGCCGGCAACAGCGCGCGTGGCGCCACCAATCAATTACGCGCGCCAGGCGGAACGGCGCGCAAGCCGGCGCCCTGTTTGCGAGCCGCGTTGGCGGGGCGGGGCGGGTGGCACGACCGACAACAGCGGGAAAAAAACCGATATCGGAACGAGGGGCGGACGCGCCGATAGCGCGTCCTCGCTCGACGCAAACAGGGGGTTTGAATAACGCTGACGCGCAAAATGGGGAGGAGGGGGGGACTGCTTACGGTTTGGCCGAGAGCCACCGCTTGTCACTGATTCTTTGGAAGAAAAATAAAAACAAAAAAAACGTTAAAATTGATGTTGTTTGTGCACTTTGAAGTGCCGTTTTGAGAAGGGGCCCTTTCATGTCTGTAAAACTAAGAATGATTTAGCACGTGCAGGGGATCAGATGGAAGGCGGGGGGGGGGGGTTCGGCAAAAGCCACGGATGGGAGACAAGAATGGGAGGAAAATAACACATCGTGTCCTAAAGAGTCTCATGAAAAACGTAGCTTTGTTTTGATTCTTTTGTTTCGCTCAACTCAAAGGGAACACAAAATGCTGGTGTTTCCCTTGGCTCCCGACAAAGTCAAGCGGGCCTCGGCCCCAACGTCTCCTTGCCTGCTTCGAACGACAGAAATGAGCACGCGAGTTACTGAGCGCCGTGCGCGTTACAGAGGGGACCGTGGGGTGCCATGGAAGTGAGATGTTAACTACCTCGCCTGGTATACAGGAGGTCCTGGGTTCAATCCCAACCCGAACGCCTGCTGTATATTTGGAGTTTGCACGTTTCTCTCCCGGTGAGCATGTGGATTTTTCTCTGGGTCCTCCAGTTTTCCCCTCGACATTTACAATCAACATGCATGCTTCACTCCCGGGAGACTGGAGTGTGGTCTCCAGGTGAGGGGGGAACAGCTGCCCTTAGTGGAAAAGTTTAAGTACCTCGGGGTCTCTTTTGCGAGTGAGCGGGAGATCGGCTGGCGGATCGGTGCGGTGTCCGCAGTGATGCGGGCGCTGTACCGTTCTGTGGTAGTGAAGCGGAAGCTGAGTTCTCGAACAAAGCTCTTGGTTTACAGGTCGATCTACATTCCCACCCTCACCTATGGTCATGAGCTTTAGGAAACGACGGAAAGGATGAGATCGCGGGTACCAGGGAACGAAATGACGTTTCTCCGCAGGGTTTCCGGGCTCACTCTCCGTGATCGGGTGAGCAGCTTGGCAATCCGGGAAGAGCCTCAGATTCGAGTCGCTGCTCTTCTGGAATGAGAGGAGCTAGTTGAGGAGGTTTGGGCACTTGGTAAGGATGTCCCCCACTAGACTCCCCCTGGAACTCTGCCGGGCATGTCCTGGGCCAGCCCCAGGGCTGGCCCAGGACACACCAGGGAAAGGGAAATCTGGACTGCCCTACTCAACACGCTGCCGCCGGGACCCTCACCAGGACAAGCGGATTGAGGAACGAACAAACGACGCATTTAGGGTATTTGGCTGCTTCGTTGAGCTTTCATGTGGGCCAGGTCGCTTCTGACAAAGAACTGCATAGCTCGGTGGGCCTTACCTGGTAAAATAAAAATAGCTGAATTGAATAAAGACGCATGTGCCAGATCGAGTGAGGCGGCAGCGTGGTTTGCACGATTCCTCCTATTACTGAGTAAATTAACAAATAGGCTGCAGAGCCTCCGCGTGTTTACATTGGCTCCGGCCATTTAAAGCCGACCCATCAGGGGAATGAGATAAAAACGTTATTATTTGATTCAATTGGATTTTGCTGCTTTTAGCTTCGCTACATCCACATTCAATTTTCGCCTGCACGGGGGGGGGGGGGGGGGCGTTCAATTCGCGCTCAACGGTTTGAGGCAGCCTCGTGCATAACGATTACGAACGAGTTTATTTATAGCGTAAGTTTCCAGATTAAAAACGTCTCCTCGCTCGTCCCCGCCCGCACGCCTGGCTCCTCGCTTGCCCGATTGTGTTTAAGATCCCCGCTCAAACGACAACAACAACAAGGCCAAGTGCGGCGCGAGGGGCTCTGGTTCCTGCATTTGGAAGCCCGTGGTCTCGCGGGAGGCATGCACACGCACTCCTCTCCTGCTGCGGTGAGCGGTGAGGGGTGAGAGTGGATGGGGGTGGGAGAGGGGGGTGAGCGGGCGGTGAGCGAGCGGAGGGTTCGCGCAGGTGTGGCACGCACAGTGCGGGTGAACTCGCCAGCTCGCAAGCCCCCAACGGTGAGTTCATTCCACACGCACTTACAGCTTCCTCTGGGGCTCGGCCAAGGTGCACTCATTTAGCAATGTCTAACCTAAGTGGATTTCAAGTCCCCGAATAGAGCGGCTACTTGGGTTTCCACGCGTAATGAGACAAATCCACGGTCGGAGAGCGCACGCCGAGTCGCAGGGCGCCCCCCCCATTCCAAACCGTACAGCGCACGTTCCGCAAATGTTTTACAAATTTAGTACGCGCGCGCACACCCACGCGCGCACCCGTGCACCCACGCACGCACCCATACGTACGTGCATGCACGCACGTACCCCGCGCACACATGCACGCACGCACCCAAGCACACATGCACGCACACAAGGCGAAGCCAAATCCTCTCCCAACGTGTCGCACCCACTTTGTATATTCATCATTAGCCGTGTCGAGGTCAAAGAGGCTGGTACCATTATATACGCCAATCATAGGGCCGCCATGACGTGAACGCGAACCGGAAAGACGGAGCAGCCTGGGTGATGAAGAGTGGAATTCGGGATTGTCTGCAGGATTCAGAAGAATTTGAATCCAACTGGGAAGAGCTCCCAAGCCGGGGCTGCTAGCCGAGTTGTTCCCACACTCCGCTCCGTCGCTGTTTTTGCAATAAGCTAGGAAGCACGAAATAGCGTGTTTGATCTCTCTCGGAGAAACCCGGGAGCATGCATTTAACCCATCAGGACTCGGCATGGACGGGTGAGTGGCAGCTCCAATTGCTTTGCCAATCACGTGGTCAGGTTCCCCTGAAGGACCCTTGAGCCTCGCAGCGCGGGCTCTCGCTCAGGCTCTTTGGCAGGAATCACAAACTCACCCCGAGGCCTCCGCACGGCAGCATCACCAAGGTCTTCTGAGACGACGGCCCTGGGGTGGGGAGAGGCGGGGGGGGGTACAGAGACGGACGGACGCGCCGTTTCAACGAAACCGTAATTTGGTTTATCGCGCGGGTCAGCGTCGCCGCAGTCGCGGCTCTGTTGGCGGCGCACGCCTCGACCTGCCGCTAAACCGGCGTTCACAAAGAACGTTTCTCTGAAGGGAGCTGCCAAAAAAACGAAAACCACAAAAGCCGCATCGCCGAGAGAACATAGGAGGCCATTTTGATGGGAAGCGGTCGTGTCGTTTATTTTAGTATTGCGTTTCGTTTATTTGTGTTTTTTTAAGTTTGCAGACCGAAACAAAAACACCGCCGATAGTAAAACCCAAGCTGGGACCAAGCGGGCAGAGAGAGGGGGAACGGAGAGCGGGGGGGGAGAAGGATTCTTGCGGAGGAGCTCTCTCCCCACAAACAATGAGCGACTCGTGCGACCACGAGCGGCAGCGGCCGTCCCCAAGCCAACAGCAGGGCGGGAGGGGCGCCACAGAAATTGCGGTGGCTTGAAGGAGGGAGGCCAAGCTGAACACCAGAATGGTGGTTTGGGCGTTGCCGCGTTGCGTTAACGCGGGGGGACGCGGCCACGCGGGCGGGGGAGGGGGCGGGGCGGGGCGGTGCAGGACGGGATCGCCGGGGGAGCGCCGGCGCTGTGACCGACCGGTCATGTGGGAGACGCATGGCCTGTGGGCCTGCGGAGGGTGAAGGCCCTCTAGGTAGGAGCTCCTCATAAATGATGAAGAGATGGAAAACAGGCTTTTCGTGATGGCAGCTGCAACGCAAGTTTTGACACTCAATTACGCGTCCGCAATATAATCCACTCAGGCGCTGGCTAGCGTTGGGCTTCTTTAAAATCCGAGATTCGGGGATTGGCTTGTTTTTTTTTTATTTTATTTGTTTTTACCACAGGTGACAAACAAGCCAAATTAGGCCGGGCCGCGCGTGCCTGCCGGCAGCGGCGTTGGTCACGAGCGGGCAGCGACAGCAGAGCGGAAGGAGTCCGAGAGAGCAGCAGCGGCGGGGGAGGGGCGGCAGCGAGGGAAGCGAGGCAGGAGAGCGCCACAAAAATTGGCTACTGCTGGAGAGGTGGGGGTGGGTAGTGGGGGGGGGGGCTCAAGATGCACAGCGAGGGGAGGGGGGCGCGCTGGGGTGAGCTGCGTGCAGAGAAGAGGAGGAGGGGCGGTAGAGGTACACCGGGGGCACACGGCACAGTTGGGATGGGCGGGGGATCGGCCCACGCATGGCAGTACCGAGCAGCTTCTTGTCGAGACGGTGCTGGCTGAGCGAGCTGGCGCCGTAGAGCAGAGTGTAGCGCTCGGAGTGCACCGACTGGATCTCCTCCAGCGTGGCTTTCCGTGGCCGTACGCGCTACGGCAAAGGCAAAAGACAAAGATCCCCCCCCCCCGTGTAGCCTTAACAGACTGTTGGTGCAAGTGTCGTTAGCGAGCAGCACCTTTGAAGGCCGGCACGGCACACGAGGAGATGGGTGGCCAACACCACGCCCTAGTGGTGATGTTTACACACCACACCAAGTTCTCATTTGAGGCTGAGTCAACCTTGGGGAGTCCATGACCCATTCAGATAATCATCACTGGTATTGGCCGTGAGCGGAATCGAACTCAGGTCACCGGGTTTGTAGCGCAGCGCGCTAACCGCTACACTGCCGCTCCCCACAGTTCAGATGTCACAAACAAACACACGTGTATGAACTAGTGCACAAGCACACACGTGCATTGCACACTCTTACGCAAGGTGCCGCCACTGAACGAGATTTTGACAAATTAGGCCGACGGTCGTGGGCGAAAACCCAGAAACGCGACGCCGCGTTCACCTTTGCCCCAAACGACCTCGCGCTTCCACAAATGAAAGGCGCCGCACGGAGCGAGCGATACGAGTGGTTTGTGGGAACGCGTTTACCTCGAGCGTGGGAACACACGTGCGCAGGACATGCGCACACACTCGCACAAGCGCGCACACACACAGGTGCGTGGGTATGCCGGCACAACGTTAACGGTGTTAACAGGCTGCAGGGCTAAGGGATGTCAAGGTCTGCATGGCACGCAAAGCGTTTGGCGCGGCCTGCACCACCCCGAGACGTATCTGTCTCCCCCACTGTTGATGTCAATACAACGCACCACGTGCTCATTGAAGGTGCAGTTGACCTAGGGGAGGCCCGGAACTAGTACAAATATACGAGCGAGAATCAAACTCGGGTTGCCGGGTTTGTAGGGCAATGCGCTAAACCCACTGTACGACCACTCCCAAATAACATTCATGAATAATACTGCCTAACACCAGAGGTGTGGACTCGAGTCATGTGACTTGGACTCGAGTCAGACTCGAGTCATGAATTTGATGACTTCAGACTCGACTTGGACTTGCATAACAATGACTTTGTCCCACCTCTGAGGTGTGGACTCGAGTCATGTGACTTGGACTCGAGTCAGACTCGAGTCATGAATTTGATGACTTCAGACTCGACTTGGACTTGCATAACAATGACTTTGTCCCACCTCTGCCTAACACTCACATAAGCTAGTCTGCAACATCATAATGGCTCAAAAGACAAGCCAACGGGCTTGGGCAGAACGTTTCGCTTGAAGCATCAATCCCCAGTGGACGAGTCTCACGAGTGGCAGGCCAGAGGAGCGAACACGCCTGAGAATTCGTACACCGTGGGGACGGAGCAAGGTACTGAACTTCTTTTGCACCATACATAGCCATCCATGCTAATCGGAGTTATGGGAGAAGGACAACAAACGAAACTCGTTGGCAGGTGACAAATCACTGAGATCACAGGACCGCGAAAGATGGCGGAGGCGGCTTTAGCGGAGGGCCTTCCATCCAGCGGTGGACGGAACACGGCCGACGTCAAAGACACTCACCTCGCACTGTGTGGCGAGCCCCGTCTCCTGCAGGCGCGACCAGATGCTCTGGATGCGCCCGGCGTGCTCCGGGTGGAACGTGTTATCTCCGCAGCTGCACTGGTGCTTCTGCATCTGCGTGTCATACGCCAGGCCTGCGTGCGTGACCGGGGGGGCGGGCAGCACGACACAGGACAGCGCGACGCGGGTCAACACAGCGTCGAGACGCGCCCGCATCTCAGGGCGACGTACAAAAGCAAATTCACGTTCTTTGGTTCTTTCGGTAAAGTCACGTAGATAGAAAAATAATCAAAAATAAAGGTAATAAAAATAAAATAATAATAAAATACAAACCACTAATGTAGACTGTAGTCTGGTTCTTAATCGGAGTGAGTGTACTGGCAGTCTATAATGTACACTGTAGCCTGGTTATTAAGTTTGGTGAGTGTACTGGCAGTCTATAATGTAGACTGTAGCAATGGTTATGAATCTTGGTGAGTGTACTGGCAGTCTATAATGTAGACTGTAGCAATGGTTATTAAGTTTGGTGATTGTACTGGCAGTCTATAATGTAGACTTATTCTTGGTTCTTTCGGTAATTGGTTCTTTCAGTAATTTAATTTACAAAAGCAAGTTACAATAGCTGGGCTTGAACAGGGGCAGGGAGCCGAGGGTCTCTACGCGAGGGTAGGGAACGTATCGTGCGTCGACAGAAAATGTACAGAAACAGTGTTTTACAAGAGGCACTCATTGACGTGCATCCCTTATATCAATCCGCTGCGGGATGAGGGCCTCCTCCAGCAGCAATCCCAAAGGCACACACAGGTCGGGCATGAACGTGTGCGTGCCGCCGCCACCACCGTGCCCGCACACCTGTGGTGAAGCGGAGCGGGCGCGGGGGCTCGGGCGCCGGCGCTAGACTGGTGTACGCGGGCGAGGAGCGCGTGCGGATGAGCGGGCGGTGCGCCGTCAGCCCTGCCGCTACCCCCGATGCCGCCAGCTGCGCCTGGTACAGGTGCAGCTGCTGAATTCTCTGCTGCTCCAGCAGGTGACCCTGGGCACACGGTGGGAGAGGGGGGGGGGAGAGGGGGGTACACGGGCAGCACGAGCGGTCACCAGGGGGGGGGAACGGCGCTAGCGGTAGCGCCCGGCGCCCCCCGGGGAGGGCGGTTCTCGACCCCGGTTTGCGGGTGGCCCCGGACCCGTCCGGTGGGGTCCACGATCTGAGAGGAGGCAGGTTCCTCGTGTGAATGGCAAGGGCCAATTGGGTCGTGCGGGGGTGGCTCTTGCTCAGAGAAGAGGCAGACCCCCAGGCCGAGATTGCGGGGGGGGGGGGGGGGGGTCTCCTGGGCAGAGCAGGGGGAGCAGCGTTCCATTAAAGCCGAGTCGTTTCAGCACCGGCAAGGGGAAGGTTGTTGTTAAGGCTGCGAGGCCACGGCAGCCAGCGGTCCCGGGGTTGCGGGAACATTCCCGTGGCTAAACGCAACAATTAACGTGCAGGAGACGCAGAGCGGCTATCTGGCCGCTTTGCTTGGTGTAAGCCGCAGCGAGGAGAGCATTTGAATAAGACAATGAAGACAATTTATGAAAGCAACATGTTTTTCGTTTGAAAAACAAAACAGAAAAACGTGCTCCAATAAAGCAGGCAATTTCTGGCATAAAACCTCGCGTGACAGGTCCAGGCATGTGGCCCGGGAATTACAGTGCGGGCGCTGGGCCGTCTCGCAACGCCCCCGCTGCATGCGCCACGCTCGATACAGTTCCCGTCTCTGCCCGGGGAGAAAAAAAAAAACGTGGCGCTTCTCCACTTACGGGCAGCACGGCAGAACGGCGCTTTGATCAGCTCAATCAGCGGCGATTGGATCCGAGGAACTCGATATCTGCTGCGGCAGAGTGGCACTGGCAGGAGGAGCGGGGTGGGCGGTGGTGGCGTGACCCCTTGTCACCCCGCCACTGGGGCAGGGATGTCGGGAGACGCTGACCGAGCAATCGGCTCCACTACCACTGTCGCCACTGTCGCCACTGTCGCCACTGTCGCCACTGTCGCCACTGTCGCCGTGACCGCTCAGCGATTGGCTACTCTGACCAGTGGCATCACAATCTATCCTGAGTGCTCTTCATCTCATCCGGTGGTTAAATGTTCAGCACACCGCGCAACAAACCTGGCGACCCGAGTTCGGTCCCCGCTCACGGCCAATATCAGTGGTGATTATCTGACCTGGTCCTGGGCCTTCCTGAGGTGGAAATCAGCCTGAATTGAGATTCTGGGGCAGAGAGTAAACATCAGAACTACGGAGACTGCTGAGCATGGTGCTGAGACCACACCACTCCCTCATGTGCTGTACCGGCGTTAATGGTGATCGCATTTGCCCCAACAGTCTGTGCTTGTGTGCGCACTCACAAGTCGGCATGTGTCCTTGTGTTTGTCGGTTTGTCCGAGTGTCTCTTGAAATGATAGTCGGCGGTCAACTGAGCGTCTCGCAACGCCACCTCTCCGCAGCAGATACAACTACTAACCACTTTTAAGGAGGTCAACGGAAGTCACCCTGTGGGTGAGACTGTTCTCCACCACGACAACAAGGAATTTCCACCACTGGCTTAGATGGAGATAAACATTACCCCATCGTTCGACTGATCAGGGAGCTTGCTGTGCCCTTTTGACGAGGCGACTCAAAATGTCACTGCTTGCGGTGGCAAGCGGCTCTCGCGGGAGAATGCCAGGAGCCGGCCCCCCTGCGTGAAAGGGACGAATTAATTGCTTCACAAAGGCCACGGTGACCTCTCTCCGCCGGGGTGCGCACGAGCAACGGCACCGGTCGTAAAGCCCGGCTGACGCAAAAAAGCACCAACGACCCCACACCAACGCAACGCCACGTCTCCCGATATCTGATCGCCGCGCTTAAGGGACGCGCTCACAAAACAAAACATTTTCCTTTAATTAGTTTTCAAGATGACGACAGTGGCAGGCGCTATTTCCAGCTGCTGCATAAACACCGTTTCAGTCCCACACCACCCCCTGCCACGATCAGCCCATTACTCGGGCTAAGCTGCTCCTGCCGGCAGGGATGGACGCATCATCCCCCTCAGTAGGGGGGGGGGGCGGGGGATCGGACCCTAATTAAAGACATACCCCTCTGACGAAGGTGGGGGGGGGGGGCAGGGGAGCGGCGTGTGGGTGTGGAGGCCCAAGCGATTTCGCGGTTACGTGCGCGCCGTCGGCCACGCGGGGTCATTCCGGTGCGGGGCCGAGGGCCCTCGCAAGGGCACCGCACGCCCAATTACCGCCGCCCGCTGACATAATTGCGCGGCGGAAGAGGGGCCGGTGAGCGGGCCCTGCCAGCGGCTCGTGTAGGGCCCCCCTATTAGTTTGTCAAGACGGAGGCGGTGGCCCTGGCCCGGCAAGCCCCGCCGGTCCCGGTATGGCCCCGAGAACAGTGCCGCTCTTGTGCCCTCCCCGCGCACGGTCATCAATTTATGCCAAAAAAGGAGAAAACCCGTAACTAGCCCCGCGGTTTTATGGAAAGCGGAAACGACATCGTGCGCAATTTCTCTTTCGCTCCAATTTTTGTCGTTTTTTTTTGCTTGCTTGCGGGGAGAAAAGAATTCGGAAATTTGAAACCTGCCCCGCCGCTCGATAAGAGAAAGTGAAGGGTTATTAATGCCGCCGTTGTGTTTGCCGGGCCGATCCTTCGGCCCCGTCCGTGACCGGCCCTCGCGCGGGCCCAGACATGGGAAATGGACCTCGCGTCAAAGATAACGGCGCCCGCCCGCCCGCCTGCCCAAAAACGTTTCGGGTGCGTCTAGATTAGAACTACATTTTAAAACGCTTGACTTCAGATTAGAGGATTAAGTTGGGGTTTCTCTTTGAGAGATAGGGAGATTGCTTCGCCGAACTTAAAACAAGCAGTGGCGACGATGTTTGGATTGAAAATAAGAGAGGTGGGATGCTAGGAAAAGCACTATTAGTGTAGGAAGGGCTCTGGAGGCTTATTGGGCATTAGCCCCTGGGAAAGGAGATAAGCCGATCGCTGACTGAAACCACTAATTAGGAGCTAACACGGAACAGGCCACACAAACATCGGCAAGTGCCGCCACTGCTTCAACTGCTGCCTGTGCAAAAGGGCGATGGCCTAAGCCGTGCGCCAGCCCAGGCCATCAATGGCCTGGCGATTGATCACGGCAACTCTCGTACAATAGCGTCTCCTCTCCTGAGGCGTCTGGAAAAGTGCTGAAGTGAAGGCTAAAAAACACCCTCTCTTAAGAGGGGCATCTAACAGAGGTCTTCCCGCCAGCAGTACCGTAAGCAAGCACTTGCAGGGCTGCACCTTTTACCGGTGGGTGTTCAGACGCCGTGTTGGCAGTGGTGAAGCAGCGCAGGTTTGTATCACCGCGACGTCCCGAGCAGCGACACATAAATAATAATAATAATAACGCGTGTCACCGTCCGGGCCAGCGCGTCCCCCTCACAGCGCCACGCGAGGAATGTCTCTCCTGCGCACGCACGCGGGCACGGTGGCTGCGCAGCATCACGAGGTTGCGCTCGCGATAAACACGCCAACAGAGCTGGCCTGTGCGGCACCCTTGCAATGGTTTGCTGCTGTCCGCCCGCATTGTCGGTGCAGCTGCCCGAGCTTCATGGGCTTCATAATGGCGACTCTCTGTTACGGTGGTGAACATTACTCCGTGTCTTACGGCCTAAAATGCACGGTAATTCTTGACGTGTGCACTCCTCATTCTCTGTATTTGAAAAGCTACTGGATTCAAGAGTAACCGACTTGCTGTACTCCTCTCTCCCACAGGCACCACTTTGTCAAATCTACGTAACAAAATAACCTGCTGTGTACTCGGACAGGACACTACCCGGGAACTCCGGTTGTGGTTGGCTTAGGCTGCGAGGTGGCCAGAAGGTGGCAGCTCCATCCTATCTCCGTGGGTGTACGTGGTGGGGTGTACGTGGTGGGGTGTACGTGGTGGGGTGTACGTGGTGGGGTGTACGTGGTGGGGTGTACGTCGTGGGGTGTACGTGGTGGGGTGTACGTGGTGGGGTGTACGTCGTGGGGTGTACGTCGTGGGGTGTACGTGGTGGGGTGTACGTGGTGGGGTGTACGTCGTGGGGTGTACGTGGTGGGGTGTACGTGGTGGGGTGTACGTCGTAGGGTGTACGTGGTGGGGTGTACGTGGTGGGGTTGTACGTCGTGGGGTGTACGTCGTGGGGTGTACGTCGTGGGGTGTACGTCGTGGGGTGTACGTGGTGGGGTGTACGTGGTGGGGTGTACGTGGTGGGGTGTACGTCGTGGGGTGTACGTCGTGGGGTGTACGTGGTGGGGTGTACGTGGTGGGGTGTACGTCGTGGGGTGTACGTAGTGGGGTGTACGTCGTGGGGTGTACGTAGTGGGGTGTACGTGGTGGGGTGTACATGGTGGGGTGTACGTCGTGGGGTGTACGTGGTGGGGTGTACGTCGTGGGGTGTACGTCGTGGGGGTTTCATCTGGGCTCTCGCCCATTTGCTCTCACGTGAAAGCCAGGCACGAGAGTAGCAGCAACCTTCCTGACAAGGTATTGAGACTCTGCGAGGCTTCCCTGGATAAAGAGCATCATAGTTTTGTAAAGTACTTTTCAAAAAAGACCACATGAACTCAGCGACGTGTGTTCACGTACCATTCCCTGCCTACAGAGCTGTAAAGGTATTGATTGGAACGGGAGGGCAGCAAGAGCCACCCTAGGGCATTGTTGGCAATATTATTATTGTGGTTTCTGCATTAGAGGGGTGTGCCGCTGACACACCCAGTGGCCGCGCGCGAGGACTGCGAGGGTGGGGGGGGGGCTACCTGGCTGTGCCTGACTGCTGGGTCGCCGCCGCCCTCCGCCCCCCCCTCTGCATCCCCGTCTCCGTCGGGCAGCTCCTGCTTGATCCGCACGCCCCTCTCGGAGTCGCCGCCACCGCCCGCACACGCCAGCTCCTCCTCCGTCATCTGGAAATGTGGTGGCCGGTCGGCGTGAGCCACGAGCGTGAGCAAAGCACGCGAGCACGCGACCCACACACACACACGGGTACACCCACACACGCAAACACGTGTACGAATGCACACACGCACACAATACACTCGCGCTCAACATCATCAACATCAGCCGCCATTCGCCGGTGACATCATCACGGCGCTTCTGCCAGGCCAGGTGCATGGAAGTGTGGAAGGCTCGCTGCTAGGTCACAGGACAAACCCAGGTGTTATGGGGTTGATTGACTGAGTTGATCGACAGATGCACTGCCTGCGCTCCCCACCGCGCTACATATGCACGCGCGGTGTGAACATGCACACACACACTTATAGACATCCGTGTACACCGCAAGACGCATGCATGCATCTAAATACACAGGCATGGGTGCGAGTAGGCAGCCGATTAGTCTGTGCAAGTGTGTACGCACACGCACTCAAACACTCGCAATCGCACACGCATGCTGACATGCACGGGTGAGCTAAGGCACCTGGACCGGCCGCAACAACCAAGTGCGTGCACATGACGAACATCCACATGCGCACGCAACGCGCACGCCGCAGCTCTGCATTCCTAATCTGCGGGTCAAGGTAGGAATTGCTAATTTCCCCACAGCGCATTTAGCAGCGGTCTTGATGTTGGATTACACGAGTGCTTAGAACGCAATACCAATCGCGCAGGTGGCCGAGGCTGTTCGCTCGTTTTCAAACTTTATTCCAGTTTCCACTTCTGAAGAGGCCGTCACCGCCCCGTCCGCTTTCGGATCGGCACCGAGTTCCTGCTTCGAAGGATGGCCGCGCAAATAACCGCGCCCCCCACCGCCACTCCAACCGGGACCGCAGCTGCCGCAGAATCGGCCGGGTATCACACGGGGGGGCGACCGGGTCGGTGGATGCCGAGGCCCCGCAACCCCGGGTGCGGCGCGGACAGCTCCGGCGGACAGCCGCGGGCAGACGGTCGGCACATAGACGACAGCCGGTGAGTGCTGCTTGTAGCGGTTAGCCAGGCCGCAGACCGACCACTCAGGACGAACGCCCGGCACAGATGGCTCAGGGTGAGATAGTATTTTGACACCCCCCGTAGAATTCTGACCCGTGGCCGCCCACACTTGGGGTCAGAATACGATACATTATTTCACCACCCCTTCTCTGTGGAAGTTTAACACAACCGAGCCTAATTTTCACAGCGGTCAGTCGTACCAACTGACCATTGTACCTGAATATCTGACATGGTGGTTACTATTTCCTGGCCATCTGTCCCAGTACGAGATGAGATTTTGACCCCAAATAATTCGAAGATAAAAACACGCTACATATATTATTCGAACCCCAGTGTATAAATACAATTACGGCAATATGACTCCCACGCCGCCGTAAGAGTCAAGAACACTAAAAAGATTATAATTTGGGCTAGTGTCATCAACGCAATGCTTCCAAAAGTCGGGTTCGTATCGTCTCTTGTCTGTGTTGAGCTACAGGACTAATACGCTAACTCACAACATCATGACAGGAGAGAAGTTGAATGACCCCGACCGACTGGGGGGGTTCAAATAATATGGAGAATTCTGACCCCGGGGTCAAGACCCGACGTGAGAGCGGCGCTCACCGTGCCCAGCGGCTTGCCCCGGTCCAGGAAGTGGGCGTGCGAGCGCGGCTGCATGGGCAGCGGCGCCGACTGCGTGCGGCTCAGAGGCCGGTGCCGTGAGGGGTTCCTCTCGGGCCCCAGCAGCGGGCCCCGGGGGGGCAGCGGCAAACCCCCCACACCTGCAAAAAAAAAGGCAAACATCCCCACCCCCCAGTGTGGCCTTTAACAGACAGTTGGGGCAAGTGCTGTCAGTGAGCACCTATGAAAGCACATGATGCGCTAGGTGGCCAACACCACACCCATTGTCTCCCCAATGTTGATGTTGCACTTATGTAAGGATGAGCGCCCTGGACCAGTTCAAATATTTGTCGCTGATGTTGACCGTGAGCGGGAATCGAACTCGGGTCGCCAGGTTCATAACGAAGTGCGCTAACCGTGACACTACCGCTCAGAAAACAAAGATCCCCCACATAGCCTGAACAGACTGCTTGGGCAAGTGCCGTTAGCAAGTAGCACCTATGAAGGCTGGCATGGCACACGAGGGGGTGGGTGGCCATCACCACGCCTGGCAGCCTTTGTCTCCCTAGTGGCGATGTTTTCACACCACACTAGGTTCAGATAATTGTCACTGGTGTTGGCCACGAGCGGGAAATCAAACTCGGGTGGTCGGGTTCGTAGCGCAGCACGCTAACCGCTGCGTTACCGCTCCCCACACACACATACATACACGATGAAACACGCGTGCACGCACACGCACACTCGGCCCTTGCCTGCGTTGAGCATGCGGTGCTGGTCCAGCACGAGCAGGTGCTGCTGCAGCAGGGAGGGCCGCCCCGCGCCGCCCCTGTCCGCGTCGCCGCTGGCCGACGCCGTGTAGGGCAGTGGCAGCGAGAGGCTGTGGCCCAGCGGCTGCTGCACGCGGCCGTGGTGGCTCTGGGAGGGGTGGTGGGGCAGATGCTGCTGGCCCTCGGGGTCTCCCTGAGTGCCGGAGCCCTGCGGAGGCGGCAGGCGCACGCGCGCAGGACGGTGACCGGATGGGCACGAACAACAAAGACAAAGATCCTTCCCGTACAGCTTTAACAGACTCCTTGGGGCAAGTGATGTTAGCGAGCACCTATGGGGGCCGGCAAGGCACACGAGGGGGTGTGTATATACACACACTCCAATGCATTGATGTAATAATAAATAGTCATGCGCACGTGCACAGGTACAGATGGCCATGGATGCACACACAAGGCACACTGAAACAGTCATACACGCACACAAAATACACTATATACACAGACACACGCAAGTATACACACAGCCACGTAGATGGACACAATTAGGTCAACACAGCCACAAAAGTTCCAGCTCCATCCTCAGTAAAACAGAGCAGCTACGCCAGCAATGACATCTTGCTTGCCCCCACTCGGACGACAAAAACACTCCAGGTCATCATCATCGTCATCATGATCCATGGGCAGACAGCCCATGGGATCGTCATTTTATTTCCGGGTCATTAAAACACAAATGCCCAGAACGCAAGGCAGAGGGGGCCCCGGCTCACAACGCAACGTGGAGTGGAGCGAGAGTGCAGGGTGGCAGATGGGGGGGGGGGGGGGGGGTCTCACGTTGGCGGGGAGGCCCAGGGAGATGTTGGGCAGAGACGGAGACATGTAGAGACTCTCCTGAGCAGGGCCCGAGCCCTCGCGGCTCAGAGGGCGGTGACCAGGAGCAACCGCCTGTAGGAGGGGCATGTCGTTCGTCCACAATGCAATCCACTCGCAACACAATCCATCATCAACGCACCCAATCCGCAATGCAATCCAATGGTATTGCAATCCCTCCACAATGCAATCCATCCTCAACACACTGCATCCACAACACAATCCATTCGCAACGCAATCCATCCTCAACACACTTAATCTGCAATGCAATCCATCCAATCCATCCCTCACACTCCATCGCCGTCCGCAATGGCGGTGAGTGGCCTCACCTCGGAGGGCGCGTGGGGGCCTAGGCCGTTCTCCACACCGTTGCTCGGTGAGTCCGGTCCCGAGCTGACCGCCGCGTCCTTCATGGAGGCCTCTGCCCAACGCGGGGAGGCAAAAGGGAGTCGGCGTCTCAACCGCGGCGGAGCCCGGTGCTTGTCCGGCAAAGGGGGGGGGCGCCACCACGAACACGGCCGTCGTTGCGTGCCGCGCGCCTACACGAGCGCGCCTCGTTGTGCGCGCGTTTTATTTGTTGTGGTGACATTTATAAGTGGTTCTGGGCCTCCCACAGGTCGACTTAGCCTCAAATGAGTACCTGGTGCGATGTTTAAACATCGACCCCGAGGGAGACAAAGGCGGCCGGACGTGGTGCTGGCCACCCACCCACCCCCTCGTGTGCCGTTCTGGCCTTCATGCTCGCTAACAGCAGTTGCCCCAAAAGTCTGTTTGGGGATATACGGGGGATCTTTATCTTTGTGTTCATTAGCGGCTGTGGTTGAGTGGGAGGTGCAGCAGACAAATTCAACATCGCAGGCCACAGCACGTGGCTCCCTCTGCTGACAGGGCCCGGGCATACCCAGCTGGCTCGTAACCATGCAACGACTGGACGGGGCAATCCACTGCTGGATGACGGCCTTCTCAATGCCGTGCGTTTGGTTCATTGGGGTTGTTTGACCATACTTCACCAAGCTTGTCAGAGCAGGTTGGTGAAGGCGGGGGAGGGGGGGGGCAGACGCTTTGCAACTCGGTGCAACACAGCAATGGTGTTCATTCAGACGCTGTCTTTCCGACAGACCTGTTCTTCACCTGAGGACAGCTGCTTGCGTTGTGGCCGAAACGTCGTGAGAATTGTATTTTATTATGTTATATTCTTATTATTTAATTATTTCCCTTCTACGTGACTTTACCGAAAGAACCAAGAAGATAAGACACAGCAATGGGTTTTGCTGCACTGCCCTCTGCTGACCTCGGGCGCGTGGGGACGGACGGACGTACGGATGGACTCAATCGATCCAAGTCCGATTGTGCTGCTTGTCATATCCACATTGAATGGTGCACGTGAGAATCGATTATGTGTGAATTGGTTCACATAAACCCTTCCAGCCATTTGAGGCTTCATACATCAGCATTTCTCAAATCCAGTCCTCGCAAAAAAGCCAACTCTCTCCGTGATTACCAACCTATCAGGCACGTCAAGTACATGGTGGGCAGCTTCATTTGCATGAGAATAGAAGACATTGTTCATTGACAAAAAAAAAGGGCGCACAAAAGTGGCAGGGAGGGAGGGGGTCGCAAGGACTGGAGTTGAGAAACAGCGGTCTACGATCACGACAACGGCAAACAAACAGCACCGATTGTCAAGTCAAATCCCAACCTCTGAATCAAACAATTCACCGAATCATGAAGGTGGCCTAATAATTAGCAGCCTGGGCAGTAGGAAGGGCTTAATGTATGTATGTATGTTGAACTTCTTTCACAATACGTAGCCAACCGCGCTAATCGGAGGTCCGAAGGAAGGACAACAAACTCAACACAACAAGCAGTTCTAAAGAAATGCGTTGTCAATATAGATTTAAAAGTGTGCAGCTCCAGTGGTTCCCTAACATCGGAAGGAAGAGCGTTCCAGACGGCCGCAGAAGCGCATCTGAAAGCGCCACGCGATGCGGTGACCGTCTTTGTTCGATGGCTGAGCAAAAAGCCGCTGCTGGGAGGATGACCGGAGTTTGTGGGATGGAAAGCAAGCGAACGCACGGGCCATAACGGGGGAGAAGGGGCTCTCGCAATTTGAAGTGTCGGGGGAGGGGGCGAGTAGGAGGGGGGGGCAGCTGTCATGGCCAGGTTGGGGGGCTGGGTCGGGGAGGCTCTCACCGGTGGCCTCGTGCGGTCGCTTCTTCCCGGCGGGGAGCCCCCCGTCTTTCCGGCGGAGTAGGGGACTCCCCCGCAAGCGGTCGGCCCCCTTCTTGCTCAGACGGTGCCGCAGCTTCAGGTTGGGCTCCGATGCTGCGCAGGAGTCGGGGGGGGGGGGGGTCACAGGGGGTAAAAGGTCAAACGTGACCCTGGGATGAAGGTGATGAAAGAGAGAGCGCGCGGCACAGCGGGCTTCAAGGAAAACTTTTTTTTAAAGAGAAAACACGAAGATGATTAAACTCGTGAGAGACTGAGAAATGTAGGCGCTAGACTAAACTCGCCACGTTTGGCAATGGCCATCTCCTTTTGTTGAATCCAAAATAAACATAATTTTTTTGGGGGAAAGGAAAACTTGCAGATGAAAAACCCCCCAAATGCGTCCTGCCCTCAGCAGAGATTTTACGTGGAATCTCTCTGCATTACACGCAAACATGAAATCTTTTACAATTCTGGTGCCGACATAAACAACCTGAGAATCCCTCAAAGGCAAACGTGGAGATTGGTTGCATTTACAGGAGGGCTTTGTTAAAATGAGAAAAAGGCTTTGAAATGAAAAAAATAAAGAAATATATCCTTGAAGCGCGGTCATAACAAAACGAGCAGCAGCGAGACAAGTCGTACTTTGAACGGGTTTGGCTTCACGGAATCCACGGTTTTTCATCTGCCGCACGCGTGACGGGAACGCTTTTCTTCCCGCAAAATCAACTGAAGGACTCCGCATCCCAAAAATGTGCACGGAGCTGGCGACGCGCTCCCTGTGGGGGCGCTCGGTCGCTAATCGTGGTGGCTCGCCGGCATAAAAAGAGCGGTGCTCCTGCCACCGGGCCGAATGCGCTCCGGATCACCGGGCGAGAACGCAACGGTGCGTACACAAGGAGCCGGAGCTCGATTCAGCCACACGCTGCTTGCACGGCATGGCACTAACCCAACCCACACTTCGATTGGTTCCTTACCGACGCTCACGTTAGCGATGTGAATGTCATGGGGTTAACGTGTCACCGATGCAGCCACCGGAGGCACTACCATTCACTGCGATGTAACACAACAAAACCGGTTCTCGTATTGAATCGTGAGGATATTAGCGAACCACCGTGGAAGGGAGGGAAAGGGAGAGGCAGGCAGGAGGGGAGGGAAAGAGGTAATAACACTCTCTCTCCGCACTCAGCATGCATGTATGTATGGATGTTGAACTTCTTTTGCACCGTACGTAGCCAACAATGCCAATTGGATATGCGGGGGAAGGACAACAAACTAAACACAAAAAACAATTTTAACGAAATGAGTTTTCAATACAGAAGATTCAAACGTGCATAGCTCCCAGTGGCTTCTTAATATCGGAAGGAAGAGTGCTCCAGACGCCCGCAGAAGTGCATCTGAAAGCGCCGCGCGATGCGGTGACCGTCTTTGTTCGATGGCCAGCGCGGGGAACGTCCCCGTGTGTAAGACCCGACCTGGCGCGGTTCCTCCGCATCCTCCCCCCGCCCCACACCAGCGATTCTCGCCCGCGATGCTCGGTGCCAACCGGGGCCGCGCACTTCGACTAAGATCCGTTCCGTCGGTCGCACGCTCCCCGCGTTTTTTTTGTAAATCCCCGCTCCATTTCGTAATAATTCCGCGACCGGAAAACAGGGGAGCGTTTCAGGGAAAGGGCAATTACCTCGGGGCCCCCACAGAGGATTCCGCGGGCCCTCGACTCCGCCCGTGCGTAACGAGCTGCCAGCTGGTTTCGTTTAAAAAAGCGCCACGTTTTTTTTTATTGCAGCCGTCAATCTGAGCGGCACTCAATGGTTGTGCAGGATTAGCCGATTCTCGGCATTAAGGCACGATGGCTTTCACATTGATCCGTCCTGCCCTTGTTATTTTAAATTTGAGTTCTATATCATTTAAATGAGAAGTAATAACAATAATAATAAAAGGTTTTAAAATGAAATGGTTTGCCAGCACCGTACGAGACCCTTTAAGCCCCCCTGACACAAGAGGGCTTTGTGTTACGTCAGTCAGCTGTTGCGCAATGCCCAGCCAGAGTTCGCTTGGCTTTTTACGTTCGCTGAGATGCATTACGCTCAGTGTGGGGAGGGGGGGGGGGGTAAAGTGGCTCCTTCAGTGGCTTTAAACAAACACAATAATCTCACCGCCGTCCCATCATTAACGCTGCCTCGCAATCGAAACGTGCACAAGCTGGCCTACGTTTCGGGCGACGACCCTTGGTTTGCAGAGCAGAGAGAGCGTTTGACCGATTTTCAGTTGGGGGCGAATTTTACATCATGTTGCTCCGACACCTCGCACAATGACTTAGTAGGCGAACTGAATGATACGAAGGCCAAAATATCATGATCCCGTTTCCCTCTCAATAACACAATAAAAAAACCTGATATTTTCAGCAACTTGCCATTGATTATATATAGGCAGCGAGCATTAATATGCACGGAAAATTCTACAAATGTAATGTAGGGTGGATTGGTGGCACAGTGATGAGCGAACTGCTCTCTGAGCCTAATGACCCGAGTAAGATTCTTAGCCGTGGCAACCATCAGTGGCGAGTGGCGTCTTACAGAGGGGTCTTGGATGCACACGCCTTCCTTAAACCGCAATGGTCAGGGTGGTGAAGTATGGTCAAACAAACTCCACGCCCGACACGGCGCGAGCAAGGCTCATCCAGCATCGGATTGAAAAAGGGCTGTGAATTACCATACATTTCACATCATGCATTCTTTCACGTGGCATTTGAAAATAACCCAAAGGCTAGGACTGTATCTGCTGTATTTCGCAACCCATTCCCATGCATTAGTGCGTCACAGCAGAACCAACTATCCCATTTCCATAAAGTCTGTGGTTTAGATCTGACGTATACACTAGGGGGCACTGTAGGTTCATCCACATGCCTTTTGAACAACACCGCTCCGAAAGAAGACAGAACGTGTTCCTACTCGCCGAGCCCCTTTTGTCGATCCACTGCTGGATGCCGTGTGGGTGGAGGATATCATTTTGACCGCACTAAAACCTACCACGTGTCAGCGTGGATGGTGAAGCCGGGGAGCATAGAGGACAGCACAAATTTGGATTTCGCTGCACTGCTCTCTTACAGCTTATAGCAATATTCAGGCTCAATCGATGATATCGGGTGCATTCTGGGCAATTCAATCATCAACCTTTTGCTGAATATTGGACGTAAAAATAAACATTTGACAAGATGAAAACGTGGCCTATGGAGCCATTGTGCGGCCAGCGCATGTGATATGTGCCCACTCATGCGTGTGTTTGTTCTTTGTCAAAACAGCCAGCTGACTTGCATATCTGCATATCTCTCTATATATACCCACGCTACCATCGTCGCGTGTCCCTGTTGTTCACAAGCATTCGGTGCCGACATGCCCGGCCGCCCTTTGATGCGTGGAGGAATCTCTGCTGCACGCAAGGAGCCGCTAACGAACGAACAAACGAATAAAACCAAGAACCCGGCCGTTCCTGAACGACCACCGACCATAGAAAAAAAAACGTGTTCAGATTTTAGGTGAAGCCATCGTCTCGGCAATAGAAGAACACTTCCAAAAAAATCCAGGGTCAGGGATTACGAATGGAATTGCCTCAATATGCTGAGCCGCACCAGTGACGCGTTGCATTATGGGGCGCTTGTGTGGTGTTGTGCCGTTGATACGAGGAGCGGCGGCGTCGTGCACACAACGCGTCTCTCCGGGTCGCAACGCCAATGTCACCACCACCAAAACCATGCCACTGAGGCGAGTACGGCGGCACTCACCGGTCTTACGCAGCGGGAAGTCGCTCTGAGACTCGTACGTGCCGAGGCCGGGGTGCTGGTACGGTGCCGACGGGCTAGTGCGCGGAGGGAGACTCTGGTCCAGTGAGCCGTGATGGCCCGTCCTGAGCCGTGGACACAGCAGCAGCAGCAGCAGCAGCAATGGCAGAAACAACAGGAACAGCAGCAGCAGCAAAGGGAAGGGCACCTCCGATTAGCATGGTTGGCTACATTTGGTGCGAAAGAAGTTCAGCAAACATACAGCAGCAACAAGGGCAGCAGCGGCAGCAGTAATGAGGAACAATGCGCGGGAAAGTGCACGCGCTCACGCCACTTTCAAGGCCGTAAAGCGATACTCGACAAATATGCTCGTGTAACGAAAAATAACTCTGGCGACGTCACTGCGAAGTGGGGGGGGGGGGGGGGCGAGCGTCTGTGCAGCGGAACGCGTTGTTCTGGGCGGCAGCGCACCACTCGGTAATGTCGCTGGGTGGACCCTCGCCCCCCCCCCCCCCCCCCACCCCTGTAGAATTGCCACCAACGAGGGACGATCGTCGCGGCGTCACGGCAATCGAGCACAAAATGCGGCCGGGAACACTCGGCTTGGTGTAGCGCCCGAGGCTCGTTGTTGTTGTTGATGTTGTTGTTGTTGATGATGGTGCTGAGCCCCAGATGTTTTCTTGCGGAACTGTGCCGGGGTGTGTTGCTCTCTCTCCTCTCTCCCGTGCTTCCCTACCCTGACCCCCCCCCCCTTACGACCCCCTTCCAATGCTGCCTTACAACATTTAAACGCCGCCGTTAATGTTGTTGTAAAGGATTAACAATCCAGCGTCAAGGGACAAAGTGAGACGGCGATGCGGCGACGAGAGCGGACACACGGCAACATTCACGGGCACCGTTTTTAGTTTAACGCAGCGTCTCAGTGCACGAGTGCACACCCGTCTCCATTCAGACGCTTTGCAAAGCTCAACACCTACGTTCACGCAGAGGTGGCGGTGCGGTGGTGGGAAGTGGAGGGGGGGGGGGGGTCTGGGCATTAGGCACGAGAGGGAGAGAGGAGAGAGGAGAGAAAGCCACGGCACCGCCCGGCAGCGACTCCGTCGTGCGACTCGGGGGTAGCTCCCCACGTACATGTGCCAGAGGCGCGGGTGGTGCGGGACGGAGTGGTTCAGGTTGCCAGCCTCCCGCTTCTTCTTGTTGAGAACAAACTCCTGCAGCTTCTGCTTCACCTCCACACTCGCCATGGCACCTGGCAGCAAAGGGGGGGGAGCGAGGAGCAAACACCGTTTCTATATTTACTTCGATAAAAATAACACACAAAAATCACCAAATGCTGCCCGAGTGTTCGTTAAGGTTAAATGCGTCCGACGCAAGTTCTTATTTTCTCAGAGAAAATAAGAGCGAATGGTTGACCACCCCCAGCAATTTGATGACCCGCCATGAATCAGTCACGGCTTGATTATTGATTCTTTAGAGTCTCACGTTTATCCACTCATTCGTATAATATCATTTTCATTCTCCCTCAGTGGTACAGCTTTTTGTCAGCCGGAAGTACGCTGAATGTAGCGTACGTAGCCAACCGTGCTAATATCAACTGCTGGATGAGATGCCCCACCACCCCCCAATATATAAATGCGAAATGTGGTACTCAGATTGTAAATGTTGTGGCTTTGCTCTCCAACACACCGGTTTTGCTGTACTAGTAACGAATTGAGATGTTCTGTTTACGTGACAAACCTTACTAATTGGCTGTGTCGGGTGGTGGCGGGTTTAACGACACGTTTATACATTTACGCGATATAACCCAAAAAACCCTCTACTATGGACATATATACACCAGCCCCCCCACCGGATGCATCGATTGGCGGAGGGGGTGGGGGGTGGGGGGTGCGCCGTAACCGAGCGCTCGGCGCGTGTGCGCACTCCGCTTACTCTCCTGACCCTTCTGCTTGTTCTTGATCTGCGTGAGCTTCTGCTCCAAGCGACGGCGCTCCAGCTCCTGCTCGCGCTGCTGCTGCTCCAGCCGCTGCTGCTGCTCCAGCAGCTCCTGCCGCTGCTGCAGGCGGACGCACGGAAACGAACGCCCCCCGTTGTGCTGTCGGCGAGCGCCTATTAAAGGCTGGCGAGGCAATCCCGTCGAGCCGGGTCGCCGGGGCGCGAGCGCTTGCGCGAAAACCGGCGCCGCTTTGCACGCAAGCGGCACGTCTCTGCCACGACGGGTCGCTCCGCGGTAAAGACGGACGCTACTTTTCGAGGCGCCAATCTGCTCCGGGCATTGCAGCGACGCGTTTCATGGCTGCAGTGATACGACGTTTCCACAACTGTGATCGTGGTCGCAAGAGTCCTGAATACGCGGGTGTCATTAGGTTTCATTTCCATTGTTGCGCAACCATTCGCTCATATGTGGGCCAGAAAAGCAGTTGCAGGCGATTCATTTGCGCAATGTGGACCCGGCTTAAGGGGCACCGATGTTGACCGCACCAGGTGCTGATGTACTCATTTGTTTAGGCTGAGCTGACCTAGGAGAATCCCGGACCTGATTAAGATATTCTTCAGTTGGAAGAATCTTGTTACATGTCATGGCTTGGATTAAAACCATCGTTTGCCAAAATCTTAGCACAGTGTGATAACCATTTTGACTCGCATTTGAACCTTATGGCGGGACCTCGGGGTCCCATAAGGCCCTGGCTCTCGCATAAACTGCGTTGCGACGTCATTTTATGTCTGTTGAAGGCGAACGACACGGCGATCTATTCCTCTCGATAAGCTCTAATCGATGCGTGAATCAAAGTTTCAAAGTTGTGTTTCTTCTGCGCATTCGTCCTCGCCGCTGCGCTTGGACGACACGACAACGGAGCGATCCGCGCCAGGCGGGTCGCGGCGTTGATGTGCGCGGTGGGACGGGGTCGCCAAAAATAAATTAATTCATTACGATTTTGACTTCCGTTTATAAGGTTCATATACCCACACACGTGAATATGTGAGCACACAGTACATATACGTACAGACATGTACCTAGAAAGATGCCCGTAGTTGCTCACAGCTCAGTGCTTTAAAAGGTGGTGGGGCTAGCACCATGCCTGGTCATGCCCGGCCAACGTAGCACAAACACCTCACACATGGCACACACACACATTACACACCACACATGTCATACACACACAAAGACAAAAACAAAGATCCCCCTTATAGACTTAACAGACTAGACGAGCATGTGCTGTTAGCGAGCACCTATGAAGACCGGCACAGCACACCAGGGGTTAGGGTGGCCGACACAACGGCCGGTAGCGGGTAGCGTGCTACACTACGAACCCGGCTAACCGCTACACTACCGCTCAGCGCGCTGCTCTACGCCGGGTTCGTAGTGCAGCGCACTAACTGCGACACTACCACTCACACGCAAAGACACCACACATGGCATATACACACAATACACATGGCACGCACACACACACAAACCACACACACACGACACACAAACCACACACACACAAACCACACACACACGACACACAGGTTGCACATGGCACACATACACCATACGTAACAAAGACAAGGACAAACACACACGGCTCGCAAACACACACTGCACAAAAAAACTCGTGCCCTTCGGGGGGGGCGTCCGCGCCGCACCTGCAGGTGCTGCTGAATCTGCGCCTGGTGCTGCCGCGCCAGCTCCTCCTGCTGCTTGTGGAACTCGGCCAGGAGCAGCTGCTGCTGCAGCTGCTGCCGCTGCTTCAGCACCAGCAGCTCGGCCTGCATCTGCTGGTCGCCGCCGCCGCCAGCCTCGCGTGCCGCCATCTCGGCGCCAGCACGTGCCTCCGCTGCGCACAAACACGAAGATCCACCGCCCCCCCCCCCCGGCCCGGCACATCCTTAACGTAATGTCGGGGCAAGTGCTATTCGCGAGCACCTTTGAAGGCCGGCGCACGGTTGCGTACGTACGCGTCTGTACGTAGAAGTTATTTCGCGCCGTGCGTAGCCAAAGGCGCTAATCGGAGGTGCGAGGGAAGGACAACGAAGCACAAAAAGTGGTTCTAAAGAAATGAGGTTGGTGTGGATGGAGCCACGCCAGGCCGCCTTTGCCTCCCCCAGTGCCGATGACCAGACACTCACAGCACGAACTCGTTTTTAAGGCACGGTTGACCTAGGGGAGGCCAAAGACTGGTGCAGGAGATAGTGTAGCTTAAACAGCTGCCCATTGCCCAGGATATTTACAGCCATTTGTCAATCTGCTGCTGGATGAATGCTGTGCCGCGCAGTGTCGGTCATGGGAGGTTGTTTGACCACACATCACTGGACTGTGCTGGTCAATGTGGATTGGTGTCGTGGATGTCCGGGGCCATTCTGGATGTCACTTGCCAATAATGATAGCCGTGGCTTGGACTCAAACGCTAGTCTCCCGGTCCGGGTTCATAGCACAGCGAGCCGACGGCGATGCCACCACGTCCCCCTGTTGTCTATGGCAGTGAAGGGAAACGCAGGCCTCCAAGGTTTTCGCGAAAGCTTTTGCCTCTCGGAGCCACTGGGTGGCAGCAGCAACCTGGGTGACGGGCTAGGTGCATTCCCTGTTTGCCCTGGGAGCCATGGCACCTGGGCCACCGTGAGCAGGCTCTGATTGAGCCTAGGGTGATCCTGACTGAACCTCTCATCCAATGCTGAAAGTTATCACTGACTTGATACGCTCTCCCTTAATCAAATAATACCAAGAAAAATGCCCTATATTTACCTAGTTAAAGCCTCAATACTTTTCACAACGGTCGTACCGAATAAGAGATGTTTGGACAATTCCATTATCGAGGGAAACCAAAATACCTGCAAAGTACCAAACATCGAAGGATCCTTTGCTGTACTGGTATCTTACTGGTCACTAAGATTAAAACACCTGGTAGTCCCAAGAAGCGCCCCCCCCCCCATGCACGTATTGGTAGCAGCCAAGCTCAACTGTGCTTAGCTTCCAAGATCCAAGGCGATTTGGTTGCATTCAGGGTGATTTTGTTGCAGGCCTCTATAATCGCATTGGGCTCTCACTTGCTCAGAACGAAGTCGGATTACAATGGTGCCACCACACAGCCCAGGTTGGCCCTGGAAAACGAGCCAATGTCGTGTCGTGTAACTCAACGGCGAGCTTAATCTCGTGATACGACCACTGCTATACGAACGATTTCCCAACTAAATGTGTCTCGCAGAGACTTGTAACAGGATTTGTGCTTACGCTAGGGCCAGTTTTCATACGCCGGTCGCGAACACACTACGACTCCGTACTGGAGTGATTCGGTGACTGCCGTATGAAGAAACAGGCCTTGTACCTGCGCTTTTCACAGGTGGTGGCCGACCACACTCCAGATCGGAGTGGGAGTGCGTTTGCCGACCGGCATTCGAAAGAATTATGAAATGTACATGCAAAACATATGGGGTACGTTTATTCAACTAAAACCAAACGACTATTTTACATTTTTACAGAAAAACTCGACGCGACGTCTCGTCAGTGCGCGTATCGGCCCGTCGAGCCGGTCCGTGCGATACGGGGGAACTTTTACGATCACCCCGGCGTTATTTACAGGCGAGAGACACTTTGCCGCGGGCGACAAAGGGAAGCGTGCAGACCCCACAGGTGGAGAGCCGTAGCCAGAAATGGAACCTTCCGGCAGAGTGTGGGAGCGCGCGGCCAGTTTTGGCAGGAAAATATCATAGCGCAATTTTTCACAAAAATTGAACTGCCAAACGCACTCACCCGCAGGCACTGAAAATAGGTTTATTTTTATTATTTTTTTATGATCAGAATTCAAACCGCCAGACATGACACAACACGAAATCTACCGTACATCTTAGGCAATTTCATTATCTCCTCACAACCCCCCCCACCACACACAACTGGTACATACACAGGCCCAGCCTGGCTGATGGAAAAGCTTTACAGTCATGTCTTACGTCTGTGCTACTGCTGCTGCCGCTGCTGCTGTGGAGCATCAGACCTCGTCGATGAATGAGGATAACATTTTCAAGACTAAGAATTACAGAAAGGGCCACGCCAACAGAAATACACACGAATAAACACCACAGGGACTTTGTACATATACAAACTCAAACGCAACAGACACAAGACAGGACCCGCATGCGCGGCACCGTACAAAGAACCGCAGAACAAGAAACTATACGAATAACTGCGAGTGCGGACTTACATTTACGGAGTAAAGAAGATGAATCCCTGCAGTCACGAAAGCTTTAAATCGAAATATAGTGTGTAAAACAAGGATTTTGAAATAATGCTAAAAAGTAAAAAGAACATTACAAGTGCAGTCCTTTTTTTGTGGTTACATTTAAAATGCGCATATGTACGAAGACTCCATCAACTGAAATATTCCAAATGAATGCACGACGCATGCACACAGTGCAGCGGCCACGCACACAATCACGCACACAGATGTACAGTGAGGGAAAAAGTATTTGATCCCCTGATGATTTTGTACGTTTGCCCACTGTCAAAGAAATGATCAGTCTATAATTTTAATGGTAGGTTTATTTGAACAGTGAGAGACAGAATAACAACAACAAAAATTCAGAAAAACGCATGTCAAAACGTTATAAATTGATTTGCATTTTAATGAGGGAAATAAGTATTTGACCCCCTCTCAATCAGAAAGATTTCTGGCTCCCAGGTGTCTTTTATACAGGTAACGAGCTGAGATTAGGAGCACACTCTTAAAGGGAGTGCTCCTAATCTCAGCTTGTCTTTTATACAAGTAACGAGCTGAGATTAGGAGCACACTCTTAAAGGGAGTGCTCCTAATCTCAGCTTGTTACCTGTATAAAAGACACCTGTTCACAGAAGCAATCAATCAATCAGATTCCAAACTCTCCACCATGGCCAAGACCAAAGAGCTCCCCGAGGATGTCAGGGACAAGATTGTAGACCTACACAAGGCTGGAATGGGCTACAAGACCATCGCCAAGCAGCTTGGTGAGAAGGTGACAACACTATGGGGACCTCATTTGCCAGTAAAAATATGATAATTGGTTCTTTACCCTTCTATCTGGCAACAAAACTGACACCTTTTTGCAAGGAGTCATGTTTGCATAGACCGCAATACCTGCAGTCATAATACAAACAAAAGAACATAACTCTGATAATGTGCACTGTCCTTGAAGTTGATTGGTCCACACCCGAGACAGCTTTCCTTCGAGCCTAGTCTCATATGGGTTGGACCAGATGACGCCAAAAGGCGCCTTTTGGCGTCATCTGGTCCAACCCATATGAGACTAGGCTCGAAGGAAAGCTGTCTCGGGTGTGGACCAATCAACTTCAAGGACAGTGCACATTATCAGAGTTATGTTATTTTGTTTGTATTATGACTGCAGGTATTGCGGTCTATGCAAACATGACTCCTTGCAAAAAGGTGTCAGTTTTGTTGCCAGATAGAAGGGTAAAGAACCAATTATCAAGGTGACAACAGTTGGTGCGATTATTCGCAAATGGAAGAAATACAAAAGAACTGTCAATCTCCCTCGGCCTTGGGCTCCATGCAAGATCTCACCTCGTGGAGTTGCAATGATCATGAGAACGGTGAGGAATCAGCCCAGAACTACACGGGAGGATCTTGTCAATGATCTCAAGGCAGCTGGGACCATAGTCATCAAGAAAACAGTTGGTAACACACTACGCCGTGAAGGACTGAAATCCTGCAGCGCCCGCAAGGTCCCCCTGCTCAAGAACGCACATATACATGCCCGTCTGCAGTTTGACAATGAACATCTGAATGATTCAGAGGACAACTGGGTGAAAGTGTTGTGGTCAGATGAGACCAAAATGGAGCTCTTTGGCATCAACTCAACTCGTCGTGTTTGGAGGAGGAGGAATGCTGCCTATGACCCCAAGAACACCATCCCCACCGTCAAACATAGAGGTGGAAACATTATGCTTTGGGGGTGCGTTTCTGCTAAGGGGACAGGACAACTTCACCGCATCAAAGGGACGATGGACGGCGCCATGTACCGTCAAATCTTGGGTGAAAACCTCCTTCCCTCAGCCAGGGCATTGAAAATGGGTCGTGGATGGGTATGCCAGCATGACAATGACCCAAAACACACGACCAAGGCAACAAAGGAGTGGCTCAAGAAAAAGCACATTAAGGTCCTGGAGTGGCCTAGCCAGTCTCCCAGACCTTAATCCCATAGAACATCTGTGGAGGGAGCTGAAGGTTCGAGTTGCCAAACGTCAGCCTCGAAACCTTAATGACTTGGAGAAGATCTGCAAAGAGGAGTGGGACAAAATCCCTCCTGAGATGTGTGCAATCCTGGTGGCCAACTACGAGAAACGTCTGACCTCTGTGATTGCCAACAAGGGTTTTGCCACCAAGTACTAAGTCATGTTTTGCAGAGGGGTCAAATACTTATTTCCCTCATTAAAATGCAAATCAATTTATAACATTTTTGACATGCGTTTTTCTGGATTTAGTTGTTATTCTGTCTCTCACTGTTCAAATAAACCTACCATTAAAATTATAGACTGATCATTTCTTTGTCAGTGGGCAAACGTACAAAATCAGCAGGGGATCAAATACTTTTTTCCCTCACTGTACCAATCACGCACACAATCACACACACTGATGCACCACACACACACACACTGATGCAGCAGTCACAAACACTGATGCACCACTCACACACACACTGATGCAGCAGTCACACACACACTGATGCAGCAGTCACACACACACTGATGCAGCAGTCACACACACACTGATGCAGCAGTCGCACACTCACTGATGCAGCAGTCACGCACTCACTGATGCAGCAGTCACACACACTGATGCAGCAGTCACAC